AGAAGCTAATTATCCAACATTAAGCACCATTTAACCCCATGAAATAATTATATATATAATTGAACAAACTAGAGTAACAAATTGTTCTTGACCATGGGTAAAGCATTGCACAATAAAAAGGTTAGTCTCTGATGGTGGTTCAAATATTTTTCTGATAAGATGGGTAGCATAGCTTATCAACCAAATATCTGTGCATTCAGTATGATCCCGACATCTGTCTGTAGTTTTCGTTTGGTTCAAAGTTTTCTTGTCAGGCAGCATATGTTTTTGAAGTTTGTGGAAATTGTTAATCTTGAGGTTCTAGGGTCAAATCCTGTATCTCTTCACTATGTGGTGTCTATGCATATGTTGGGTGTTTGGTCTTGGATTTTCAAAATTTAATTTTGATGCTGGTATTTCTTCTGGCAGAATTGATGAGAACATGGAAGATACATTAGCGAACGTAGAGGGCGCACAAGGGGCATTGCTCAAGTACCTGAATAGCATATCATCTAACAGGTGGCTGATGATCAAGATATTCTTTATACTAATATTTTTCCTCATGGTTTTCCTATTTTTTGTGGCATAGTCTTTTGCAGAGAGAGAGAGAGAGAGAGAGAGAGAGAGAGAGAGAGAGAGAGAGAGATGACAATGATTTTTAGTAAGTTACTGTCGATCGAGCCCTTTGTATTCTATTCATGTCATCTTTTTGCTTCTTCGAATGTTCACACGGGCATAAACAAGATAAGTACCGGGGTTTTCCTATTGTAGTATATGTGTTTGGGATACACGTAACTGTAAAATTTGTTGAGAACATTGTGACTGGCAAAAAACTATTCATTTATCTGCTCTGTGAGTCTGATTGTTTTTGTATTGTGCTCTCTTAATGTAGTGATAAGGGATAAACTTTAATAGGGCTGCCTGATTACCACATCTCTCTCGTCGTATGAAAGAGGCCCAAAAATTGTGTTTGACCACCGACGTGCACAAGGACAAGTCCAAGTCATCCGAATATGACGTTTTCAGTCTCTCTTGTACGTTTGCGATTTACTGCCCTTATTTTATGAAATTCAGATTTTTTTTTTAATTTTTTAATTTTACAGAATTACACACACACACACACACACACATTTTTTATGGATAGTTGTCTGCCTTTTTGACAACTAAAAATTACCTTGCAATTCTAAGTTTATTCCAAGTAGTGTTTGTATTGATGCGTGTCAAACTTGAAGTATGAAAATTACAACTCAATATCATAAAACGTGACCACAAAAGCACCTGTTAGTTGGTAAATGTCACATTTTTGCTATTTTCCCCAACAATTTACTAAATATTCCAACCTCAAAAAACTACCAAATCCTTTATACACATGAAAAAGATTTACTAGCAAATAATAAATAAGAAAACCACTGTGTATACTTTTTCCAATCAATGACAGCTAAACAAACAGATTCCACCACACCGAACAATAACTAAGATCAGACTGAAAAAATAAAGATTCAATACGGAACAATAACTTAGAAAAATATTAAGCATCAAACCTGTTCTGATACCAAGTCGAAAATACACGTAACAAAGTAGCAAACTGACTAATAAACCGAACAACAAACCAACTATAAATAAATTCATTAACGATTATAATTTTATGTAAACATCGCAATACCAAAAAAATCCGAAATAAAAACTTTACTTTGCTAAAATCACAAATACAATGAAGTAGGAGGACCAATCAGTAAAAACAAAAAACACAAGCCAGCTATATAAGCTCCTCATTGGGCACTCCATTACGTTATCCAGACCTTAATTTAGCCCTACTTTTGGAAACGTAACCAACCTCCCTCCCTTCCTCTTCATCTTCCCAAATTTCCATACCTCCCTCTCCTCCTATATAATCCAAATCCCTAATTCCACCATTCCCAATCTCCTCCAGACCCTAATTCCCCTTTCACAATCCCCCCAAATCTCCGATCTCGATTTTTCCTGAGCGTCTGTGAATTTTTTTTATCGTCGATTGAAAAACCGCTAAATCTTCCCTTCCCTGCGCGATTTCTCGAGAGAATGGTTGGCGGTGGAGGCAGGAGAGACGAGGGCTCGCTCGTCATCAACAACACGAACGTGTTCGCGGCGCTCGAGACTCTGAGGAAGAAGAAGAAGTCCGATAAGGATCGCAAGAGCAAAGGGTCTTCCAAGCCGGCGCAGCCCAAGGCGCCGGAGCCGCAGGTGTTCTGGGCGCCGGCTCCTTTGAACACGAAATCGTGGGCCGATGTTGACGACGAAGATGATGATGATTATTACGCCACTACGGCTCCGCCTCAGGCTGCTTGGGGATCGTCGGAGCCGCAAAAGAGTAAGGAGAAGCCAAATGTAGAGGTCAGAACTGAAATTCATTTTTTTTTTCGTTTCGATTCGATGTGTGTTATCTGAATTTTGTGTTTTTATTCGATTGTTTGTTTGAATTTTTTTCCTTGATTTTTTTTTTTTTTTGATAGAAGGAATTGGACTGATGAATATAGATAGTCTAGTTGGGTATTGATCTTACTCTAGGAGCTGCAGAGACGCTAAGTTTGTGATGGGAAAGCGAACATTGTTTGTTGGTTGAGGGAATGATCTGAGTTAGTTTGGCTTGTTGATTGTTCAAGGAAGAAGTTAGTGGAGGTGCGTTGGAAAGATTTATTATTTCAATCTAAGTGTTGGTTTCCGGTGGATAACAAAGTACTGGCTGCACCGAATGCAGAAGCGAAGGTACAATTCGGTGTCATGTGGAAAAGTCATTAGGTGTCATTGGAACATAGGAGATACAATGTGTCTTTGAAAAAGTGAGGGTCTGTACATGTATATGTACTTGTACGATGTAGTTATGGTTGATTCAAAGTTGGGAAAAGGGAAAAATAGTTGGAATGGAAGGCCGAAATTTAGCCAATTATACTGCATAAAATATCTATCAGGACCGCCCCTTTGCATGTTCAGAGATTATTTGTACAACTTTCTTTGTCTGATGACCTTTTATGCAACTATGTAAATTTATATGGTTATGCATTTGTCAGAGCATTGCGGGCAATGACCAGAACAGAGTTATTATAACGGCTTGTTGATTTGTGATTGCAGGAAAGTGAGAGTGAAGAAGATATTCTTGATGAAGGTGATGATGATGCAGAGGAAGAGCATGATCATGAACTGGAGGTGCCTGTAAACCCGGAGCCAGTGGTGAAGAAGCCTGCTTATGTTCCTGCGCCACCTAAAGAGGCAGAAAAGCAACTTTCAAAAAAGGAAAGAAAGAAAAAAGAACTTGCAGAACTTGAGGCTCTTCTTGCTGATTTTGGAGTCGCCCCAAAGGAGAGTGATAGTCAAGATGAATCACAAGGTAATTGTGAACAATTATTTCAGATAAATTCTGTTATAGTAATTAGCGATCGCTGCTCTTCAGTTTTTTCTCTTTTAGTGCCTTTTGCTCTATTTTACTTTTCTGCATCTGAAATTCTGTGTAAAGAAAGAATGAAAGCTGAATCTTATTCATTTCATCATGTCAATAATGAATTGAAATTTGGGATTGGACATAACATAGATGTGAAGGAGATGGTTAAAATTTTCCATGTACACTTTAAGCGTTCATATATGCAAATACTACTCCATTTAACTGAGTATTCTTGTTCAATGTATCAATCACCGCTCATATCGATTGCAAAATAAGCTTAGAATCAAATGACAAACTTAAGTTTGAAAGTCAATTCCTTGTATTTGTTTATTTATACCTGTAATTATTGCAGAAGTTGAAGTCTTGGTTTTATTTATTTACTTATTGAGAGCCTCTATTGCAAGGTATCTGAATTTGGTTTCTTTGGTGCCATATCATAGTCAATATCATCTAGCCAACAACCATCATTATGTTGCATTTGCAGGTGTTGCACTAGAAAAGGATAATGCACCAAATGGAGATGGAGAAAAGAAGGAAAATCAATCTGCAGAGTCCAAGAGCGCCAAGAAGAAGAAAAAGAAAGATAAAGCTTCCAAGGAGGTGAAAGAATCGCAGGATCAGCCAAACAACTCAGGGGCTACTAATGGTCCGAGTGAAGTTACTGGAGCCGAACAGGCGGAGGAGGATACATCGAATATTGATGTGAAGGAGCGATTAAAGAAGGTTGTATCTGGGAAGAAGAAGAAATCTAGTAAAGAGTTGGATGCTGCAGCAAAAGCTGCTGCTCAAGAGGCTGCTGCTAGGAGAGCACGGCTTGCTGCAGCTAAGAAGAAAGAGAAGAACCATTACAACCAGCAGCCTGTCCGGTAAAAAGCTCAAATTTTGTTCAACATTGGTACATATGAACATGTAATTTCTCTTTGTTCATATGACGGAAGTTATGCGAAATAAAGAGTGGTGGCTCTGGGTTTAAATTTAATTGCGAGGTGGACTTATAGGAAGTTTTCGTTTTTGGCTGTTGCCGATCATTTTTTGTTGCTCGGTTGTCATGGGTGGGACGTATGGAATTTGCCAGTTTTGCTCATTGGATGTTTGTTCCTTGGAGAGTGGGTTTTAAATTGATAGATGTCTGTAATGTAGTTGTTCCTCCATGTTGTTGCTGTCACAAACTTCTTGTGTGTGTGATATTCTATGAACGGACACCATGAGAAATTATTGCATTTCTTCTGGTGTGTGAGTTGCTTATTGAAGACCTTGATAATCCCAGCCTCGGTCTAAAACTAAGGGATAAAAACAGGGGGAAAAGTGCATTAAGGACAAAACGGGAGTTTTGTCAATGTACTGTTGAAAAAGCTTACATAGAACGGGTTCATTGTTATCGTGACATCACAATTCAATAATATATTTTTTATTCGGGATGCCACGTGACAGTGAACACTTTTTTTGGGTAAGTCGTTCTCGTATCAATGTGGTGCTAAAGATCAAATAAAACTTCGTAATTTGAGTAGCTTTGTATTGATTTGTTGAGCGAACTTTCTTGTACTTGTATTAAAATGCTTTCACCAAAAGCGTTTTCAATTTTCAGTAATGGCAATAGTGTCTTGGAATTATCATAATTTATTTTCAAAGAGTGATATTGATTGGTAATTTGGTAATGTATGAGACTTGAGAGGGACTGTTTCTTATTCAACCTGGTACACCCCGCTGGTTAAGGGCATTTCTGACATTTCAGGTGCTCCACCGTGGCATTTCTGACTGTTTCTTATTCCTTCCCTTCTTCCCCAGTTGTCTTCTCCATGAAGAAGAAGCGGAAAAACTAGACACAACAAATAAACCGGCAATTCAAGCAAGCATAAAAAAAAGCAAGCAAACCTTCTCCCTCTCTCTCTCTCCTTCTCCTCTCTCTCTCTCTCTCTCAAGCAACACTGAAAGCCTGAAACCAAAGGAAGCAAGCAATACCATACCTGTGCAATGTTCCATTTCGTCACTCCAGGTTCGATTGTCTTCAAACTATTGCGTTTCATTTCCGAAAACTGAAAACTTGAATACAAAATATTAAATTCTGCATTTTTCGGGTTCGAAACCGGCAGTGAAAGAACACGTTTGGCTTTAGAGTAGCTCTGTTAACTGTAGGCATTTGGTTCTCTGCTGCTCCTGAGTGAGAGTGACGACCAGTTCTAGGGCTGTTATTTTTTATCAATTAGTGAATTAATCAAATTAAAACTCGCAATTTTACGGGCTTTTCGGGTGTTGGAGGAGGAAATTGATATGTATGTTTGATTGATGAATGATTTATTACTCGAATTACTGGCCACTGTGATTGTTTACTTGGAAAATGTCTTAGTATTACTCTGCTAACAAGTAACTGAAATGTCCATTGGTAGCGATTAGCTTTCGGTGTTTCCAAATCCGTTATCATATCATTTACTCTCTATCGATTTGATGATTGTTTTGGGTTTGGTGTGGATTTTTAATTGAAAATCAACATCTGTTTCCATAGGGTTAAAATGTGTTGGCGCTTCGTGATTTTCTGATTTGTTAGGGGACTAAGAGCTGCTTCTTGGCCCCTGGCAGATGACTTGCAATTGGATGCTGTTTCTTAAGGGAAGATAATGAGCGGAAAACTCCACTGCCCATTTCTTGGGGTTTCACTACACAGCTCTTTAAATGGTAGAAACAATGGAAAATTCATTTGTTGGGACAGAGGGCGTACGGGAAAAAGGGCTGCTCGCAGGTGTGTATGTGAAAAGCAGAACTATTGGATTACTCAAGCGATTAAGGTTTCACATTTTTGGGGAAAAAATGTGGAGTTATTAAGGAGAACCTTCGAGCTAAAAAATGGGATGAAGGTGCAATGTGTTAAAGAGCCCTTTTCTCAAAGCAAGGCTCTGACGTGGTCTTTGTCTCATCTGTTGGAAGAGGGGTTGCTTTTAATTAGGTGCTCTGTATTTTTGGCCACCATATCCGGTGTATGCTTATTGGTATGGTATGGGCAATTAAAAGCCAAGGGTTTCATTGAAGCCAAGCTTTTGCCTTCTGTTTGTTCAGTACTCAGTGAATATATTCAGCGTGAAGTTGTTTTTGGTAAGGTTCGGAGGTTATCGCCTTTGAGCGTCACACTGGACTCTTGTTCAATTGGGCCTCATAATGAGGAATTTTCTTGTGGTGAGGTCCCATCTATGAAACTTCGGCTTCGTCCTTTTGCAAGTCTGAGGAGGGGAAGGATTGTGGTTGATGCAGTTTTGTTGCATCCGACGGTCTTGGTTGCACAGAAGAAGGATTATTCTTGGTTAGGGATACCCTCAAATGAAGGTGGTCTACAGAGGCACTTATCTAACGAAGAGGGAATTGATCATCGAACCAAAATCCGAAGGCTTGCTCGAGAAGCAGCAGCTGCTTGCTGGGAAAGAGAAAGAGATGAAGCGGCAAAAAAAGCTGCAGAGATGGGTTACATTGTTACTGACAAGGGTTCTAGTCCTGCAAATGTAAATGACTCGAAGGAAGGTGATAGCCATTCAGTAGATTTAACAAGTTCTGAGTCATTTCCGTGCATGGATGAAAAGATGTACTGGAGGGATCATTGCATGGACACAGGTGTTGATTATGAAATAAAGCATGCAGATTTGGAGAAATCGTTGGGTGTCAAAATTCCTGGGTTAGGGCTTAAATTTTGGTCCAGATTGATAAGGGGGCCTAAAAAGCACAAATTTAAAAGGAAGGGTTATGGGAGTGATATCTCTACTTCCGGTATTACTGCCAAAAGAAGAATTCTCGGGTACAGTGCAGCAAGGGCACTTGCATATTTTCAGGATCTATTTCATCAGAAGTCTGAGCCTTCACAGTCATCTGGAGGTTATGATGTGATGAACTTTGACACCTATTTGTTCAACAATGTGGCTGATACTAATGCTGACGCTTCTATCACAAGTACTGGTGAAAAAACTGTAAGTGACGATAACCACAATGGAAAACATTATGGAGATTCAGCAGACCATCCTCTTAAAGAAAATGAGAACGTCAACAGTCATTTAAGTAGTTCTAATTTCATAGAAGATCTACTTCCTATGACTTTAGATAGGTCTACTGGAGATGGGACATCCGGTAAAACTTTCCCATCCGCTGAAAATGTTGCAGGAGCTAATACCAAAAGTGGTAACGTAAAAGAGGATTTTGGAGTTGATGATGTAAATAAGCATACCGGTGATGAGATATCGGAGGGGCAAAGTGGTCAGATGTCGCAGAATTCAAATTTTGCTACATACGATCAAGTTCCTATCTGGCCCCTAAGCCTGAAATTAGGCTTGTCCTCCTTGTCTAGGTATGCAGCAGAGCCATTAGCCTTTCTCTCTGGACCCATTCAAAAGCTGATGTCTATGGGCCCCAGAGTTGAAGATATTGTTGCAGAACTTGTTGACGGGGTCGGTGTTGTGCAGTCTGAAGGCTTTGAGAAGATACTTCCAGTTACACTAGATTCTGTTCATTTCAAAGGAGGAACATTGATGCTGCTTGCATATGGCGATAGGGAACCTCGGTAGAGCCACTTCTGTTATATATTTTCTTGTTTTACTCTTTATAATAAGCAAAAACATAATTCTTTTGCTGGCTCTTGTCATAAAAATGATTTACTTATGTGGCGGAGCTGGCTGTCCTTTTAACTGTTGTGCTCAGTTTTACATAGAAAAACTTGTTGTCGTTGCAATTTTGACATACTGGATAGAGGTCTAACTATACTAATTAGGATCACTCATCTTTTAAGATGTTTTCCCTGTGGAAAATATATAGTCTGTGTATAGTGATAATGCATCATCTTATGCAAGAAAAAGTTTATGACAAGATAAATTTTGCATTAAGCTGAGCATTTATGATTTTTGTATACAATGTTTATAGAGAGATGGAGAATGTCGATGGACATGTGAAGTTTCAAAATCTCTATGGTCGGGCTCACGTTCAAGTTAGTGGAAACTGTAAGATGTGGAGATCTGAAAACATATCTGAAGATGGTGGCTGGTTGTCTACGGATGTTTTTGTTGACATTGTTGAACAGAAATGGCATGCCAACTTAAAAGTTGCCAACTTGTTTGTTCCGGTAAGGGAGACACTACAAAATAAAATGACACTTAATTGAGATTGTCAACACCTTTGTGTTTCCAATATGAGGTTACAAAGTTGGTTCACGTGCCTTGTGTGCTGGTTGTCTTTTCTTCTGCAGCTTTTTGAAAGGATATTAGAAATTCCAATAATTTGGTCCAAAGGAAGAGCCACTGGTGAGGTGCTTCTCGAACTCCAATGTATACTTTATATTTTTTCCATTATAAAATTTTATGGTGGCACTTCTCCAGTTTGTGCCCTGAATGGGTTATACTGTTTCTGTTGCTTAAGTAATTACATGAATTCATTCTTTGTGGCCATTTCTGCTTGTTGATTATTCCTATTTTTTAATGTTATATAAAATTGTGTGTATCTGAAATCTCAAGATGTCACATTTCAACTGTATTTTCTCTTTTGACATTACGTTGGAGAAAAAAAAGTTCATTGTTATTATATTTTGTTTGTTTTGAGATATATATGTACTTTCACTTTTTCAGGTTCACTTGTGCATGTCAAATGGAGAAACATTTCCAAATCTTCATGGACAGCTTGATGTGACAGGGTTGGCTTTTCAAACAATTGATGCGCCATCATCATTTTCTGTATGTCTCGGTTATATGTTTTTGTTTTATTTTTTAAACCTTTATGGATACAGTATGCTTGTTTGCGTGGATGTTCCTTCCCCCTTCAAATAGACTTGGTAGGTTGCCTAGAAAAGGAATTACTTCCGGTTTCAATATATCACAACAAACTGAATCTGTCCAGACTCCAAATACTTTCGGCTTAATGGAGTGTGTTATGATGCATTTTGCCCGATCTGCCAGGGCATTGGTCTTTTATAATAATACTTGTCGTCTTGCATGTTACTGTTTCTAACAGCACATTATGCAAACATGATAACTTTATGGTTCTCTGATCATGCAACAGGTTTATGGTTGAAACCATCCCTCATGTTTATAGTCTGTCATGTTGTCCTTGAAATCTGAAAAGTTGTTCTTGTTCTGTGCCCTGCGTCTCTTTTATGCAGGATATTTCAGCAAGCTTATGTTTCCGTGGCCAACAAATATTCCTACACAATGCAAGTGGCTGGTTTGGTGATATTCCCTTGGAAGCTTCTGGAGATTTTGGCATTCATCCTGAGGAAGGAGAGTTTCATCTTATGTGTCAGGTATGTTCTTGGAGATGCTTCTGGAAAAGTTTAATAACAGGCAATTAATTTGAGCTTGAACTGGCAACACGAAATGTCTTATTGAGTTCCTTTTTGTTTTATTAACAATACTGCATCCAGTTAGTAATCTTTTCATACGAACTTTCATCTCCAGGTTTCTTGCGTGGAAGTAAATTCCTTGATGAAAACTTTCAAAATGAAACCTCTCTTGTTTCCGGTATGTGTGTGTTTTGTATGTTGCATCTGATTGTCTGTTCGCATGTATCTGTCTTTTTATTCTTTCCTGTGTTATAAAATGGAAATACTAAGCTGCAGTGTAGATGCAAGCTTCTCCCTGGTCCCACCATGTGTAGATGGTAGAACCTATGATTTCTCCTTTAGAAGGGAAGGTCCAAACATAAACAGAAGTGCTACACTCTGACATGGATATGAAGCTGGCACTTTCCTTTGAACCTATATCAACACATTATCTATGTTAGAGTGCCGGCTCGCATGTGATAATCATGGCTTGCAAAACATTTATTGAAAACAGCACAACAGCCTTAACAGAACTTCTGGCTGATAATAGTTAAATGAAATAGAATTCTCTTAAAAGCCTCGGTATGAGTCTCATACTTTGGCCAATACAATGGCATTCTCAAGCGTTTGAAGAGCTGATTTTCGGCTAGTAACTTGATGCAAATCATATTAACCACATCTTATAATCTTATATGCTTATATATATTTTTTCCCTTCACTTTTAAGTTCGATTTTACTTTTTTTTTCTTCTGAATTCTGTCAAATACTTTTATTAGCCATTTGTACATGTTTTCCCCTGCTATTATTTTTCCCAAAATCACGTAATAATGTTGTGTGCATTAGTTTCTTGCCTAGTTTCCACAAGAAAGAATGCAGTGATAATATATGAGGTGATATACGTCATATTTACGTATCTCTTTGACTTTACCCCCCATGTAGCTGGCTGGTTCAGTGACTGCTGTGTTTAACTGTCAAGGTCCACTGGATGCACCTATATTTGTGGGAAGTGGAATGGTCTCTAGAAGGATATCTCATCCAGTTGCTGATTTTCCTCCGTCCTCTGCATGTGAAGCAGTTTTGGAAAGTAAGGAAGCTGGTGCAGTAGCAGCAATTGATCGTGTACCATTTTCCTGCTTATCGGCCAATTTCACTTATAACACTGAGAGCTGTGTAAGTTTTTGATGAGCAACTAAATGTGTATGAGTTTTTGATGAGCAACTAAATGTGTATGAGTTTTTGATGAGCAACTAAATGTGTATGAGTTTTTGATGAGCAACTAAATGTGTATGTCCAACTGTGTGATGATTCTTCATCTCATGCCGCTGCATCTATATTCTTCTAAGCTTATTCTGTATTTTCTATAGGTTGTTGATTTGTATGGAATAAGAGCTAGCCTTGTAGATGGTGGTGAAATTCGAGGGGCAGGGAATGCTTGGATTTGCCCAGAGGTATACACTTATGTTTTTGTTTAAAATTGTGGCCAAGCTTTGTAGAATCATTTTACTGAGTCGTTAAACTAGCAAACTAGTTCCCCCCTCTTTCTCTCCACGGTGATTATTTGGTAACTTCAGCATGCTCATTAAGTTTATATTTCTGGGAGATTTTTTAAGCTATCTTCAACTTTATAGCTGCTTTAGCTTTCATATTGAATATAAATCTTTGTGACCCCAGAAGTTTTTGGTGTTTGTTTGACTTTCGTACTTTAGTTTTGGGGTTTCATTTTTGCCATGGACAGCATGATATTTTACTATTTGTAGGGGTGCAACTTAGGTTAGAAAGTCAACATGGCCTCTAAACTAATTAACCTTCACAATGGGTTTAGATTTATTCAGGCTCGAGTTTAAATTGGGTTCAATTCGCTCGAGTTCGAGTGTTTCCCAGCTTTATTATCAAGCTAAATCTTGTAACTTCTTATTTTTAATGTGGCACTCTAACATTTCTATTTTGAAAATTAACTCTGTGGTGTTATACTTAGGGTGAGGTTGATGATACATCAATGGATGTGAATTTCTCTGGAAGTTTGTGTTTTGATAAAATTCTGCATCGATATATACCTGGGTACCTTCAACTAATGCCACTCAAGTTAGGGGCTTTAAATGGAGAGACAAAAATTTCTGGTTCGCTGTTGAGACCGTAAGATTTCTGTGTCTACCCTCTTAACTGTTGATCACGAACTATTGATGTTGCTTATTTGCCCCATCTGCCTTTTGTTATGGTTGCTCATCAGAATATACATGATGTTGATGATAATCTGCATTTAGAGTCAATTTCTTCAGGTTCACTAAGATTTTTTTCCAATTTTTTGCTTTGTTTTCTTAATCTAGGAGGTGTGACATTAAATGGACAGCTCCAAAAGCTGAAGGGTCCTTTAGTGATGCTCGAGGAGATATCATAATCTCACATGATTCCATTACTGTTAATTCTTCATCTGCTGCTTTTGATTTGTCTTCGAAAGTTCAAACATCTTACACTGACGAAGTATGCTTGCACAGAAGTGATGGTTATGCAAAGAATGCAATGCCATTTGTTGTTGAGGGAATTGAATTGGATTTGCGTATGCATAATTTTGAGTTTTTTAACTGGGTATCTCCTTATCCTTTCGATTCTCCAAAACCTATGCATTTGAAAGCAACAGGCAAGATCAAGTTTCAAGGCAAGGTGTTAAAGCCTTGTAGTGTTAATAATGGACAAGATTTTGGTCTAGAGAGAAATAATTTACCTGTGGAGATGACAGATAAAGAAAAGACAGAGAGCCTTGTTGGAGAGGTTTCGATTTCAGGTCTTAGATTGAATCAGTTGATGTTGGCGCCTCAGTTGGCTGGATCATTGAGTTTGTCCCGTGAGTATGTCAAGGTAATGCAAAGAATCTTGACACCTTGCACATTTGGTTTATCTTGGAATCGAGCTGAAGATATTAAACTGGTCTTGTCGTCAATGTTGCCAATATAACCTTTGAAATTAACATGTTGACTCGTATATTTTATGGTTTTGGATTCCTGATATTTTGCATTGTAGAGCATAACTGGTACTAAGCTTTATAATTATATTCCATCTAAGCTCTTGGTAACTTGAGCAAAAAATACATGTCTGCGAGTATTTTTATTATTAAATTGCATGCTCAAGATTTAGAGAGCAAATTTCTCAAGTTTGAAATTGATTATATTGCATTTGGCATTCCCATGCCTAAGTCGAGTATTTGGACACGTTTGCTGCATATTTTTGTGTTCCTATGCTCTGGGGAATGGAATTTTGATAAATGATTCAACTAGGGATTTTTTTTATTAATGCTGTTGTTAGTGAGGCCTATCACCTATGTCATTAGATATGGCTAAAAGAAGAGTTTGACTTAATCAACTATATTGATGGCCTATTATATTTTATTTTTCTTTCTTATAATTCCTTCTGAAATATGAGATCTTTCTGGCAGTTGGATGCCACTGGTAGGCCAGATGAAAGTCTTGTAGTGGAGTTTGTTGGGCCCTTGAAGCCTAATAGTGAGGATAATTCTCAAAGCGGGAAGTTGGTATCTTTTTTACTTCAAAAGGGGCAACTAAAAGCAAACATCTGCTTCCAGCCATTTCATTCTGCTAACTTGGAGGTACCTGTATTTCTGCAGAATATTCTTTGTTTTTCCTATGCAAGTCCTTTTTAGTTGAGCTTATTAGCAGCAAATTGTCTACTGACTCTTCTTTTTTATTGTCTTTGCATTTGTTATAGATACGCCAGTTACCACTGGATGAGTTGGAGTTGGCATCACTCCGTGGAACAATACAGAAGGCAAGCTAGCAAGCATTCTAGATTTAAATGTTTTCGAATCCCCATTTCTTCTCCTTACTCATAATGAGTGCACATTCGATCATTATGAGATGGCTGTCAAGAATGGTTCAGAGACCTGCACAAATGTTTTATTACATGGATGTTTATCCTAACAAAGCCTTAAAAAATAAAAGGAAAACAGACCTTATTTCTTTTGTTGCAAGGCCAATTTTTTTCTTTAAGATTTTTGGGACGTTTTTTCTTCTAATGAGGAAAGGGGATCGTATAACTTGTAAGGATTGCAAAGTTATACCAGGAGAGAGCGTGGCTAATCAACATCGCTTGTTGGTGATAGATGTACATATCAAAAGAGTAAGACAAAAGAACAAGACTTGGAAGTGCCCAAGGACTAGATGGTGGAATCTAAAAGAAGAAAAACAAGCCATTTTCAAAGAGAAGGTAATCACCCAATGTGTGTGGGATAGAGAGGGGGAAGCTAGCCAAATGTGGGATTCCATGGCTAGTTGTATCCGAAAAGTAGCAAAAGAGGTATTAGGAGAGTCCAAGGGCTTTGCCCCACACCAAAAGGAATCTTGGTGGTGGAATGAGGAGGTACAAACAAAGGTGAAGGCTAAGAAGGAATGTTGTAAAGCCTTATACAAGGAGAGGACTGATGAAAATGGTGAAAGGTATAGAAAAGCGAAGCAAGAGGCGAAGAAAGCTGTCAGAGAAGCTAAGTTAGCGGCTTACGACGATATGTATAAACGACTAGATACCAAAGAAGGAGAGTTGGATATCTATAAACTATCTAGAGCAAGGGAAAAGAAGACAAGGGACCTAAACCAAGTGAGGTGCATCAAGGATGAGGATGGAAAGGTTCTTGCTACAGAGAACGCGGTTAAAGACAGATGGAGAGGTTATTTTCATAATCTTTTTCAATGAAGGACATGAAATGAGTGCTTCTTTAGGGGAGTTGAGTAACTCAGAAGAGTGTAGAAACTACTCTTTTTATCGTCGAATCCGGAAGGAAGAAGTGGTTGTAGCTTTGAAGAAGATGAAGCATAAAAAAGCAATAGGCCCAGACGATATACCAATCGAAGTGTGGAAACTTTTGGGAGAGACAGGTATAACATGGCTCACTGACCTTTTCAATAGGATTTTGAAAACGAAGAAGATGCCAAATGAGTGGCGAATGAGCACTTTGGTGCCTATCTACAAGAATAAGGGCGACGTACAAAATTGCATGAACTATAGGGGTATTAAGCTAATGAGTCATACAATGAAGCTCTGGGAGAGAGTCATTGAGCATAGATTGAGGCAAGAGACACGGGTTTCAGACAACCAATTCGGGTTCATGCCAGGGCGCTCAACCATGGAGGCAATCTATCTCTTACGAAGATTGATGGAAAGATATAGAGATGGGAAAAAGGATTTACACATGGTCTTTATAGATTTGGAAAAAGCGTATGATAGGGTCCCAAGAGACATTCTTTGGAGGATTTTAGAGAAGAAAGGAGTACGAGTAGCATATATCCAAGCTATAAAGGATATGTATGAAGGAGCAAAGACTGCCGTAAGAACTCATGAAGGACAAACCGAAAGCTTTCCCATAACTGTAGGATTACATCAAGGCTCATCCTTAAGTCCTTACCTTTTTGCGTTGGTAATGGATGAGTTAACACGACATATTCAAGATGATATTCCTTGGTGTATGCTTTTCGCAGACGATATAGTGTTGATAGATGAAACTCAGGAAGGGGTAAATGCAAAGCTTAACCTTTGGAGAGAAGTGTTGGAATCTAAAGGTCTTCGCCTAAGCCGATCAAAGACAGAATATATATGGAGTGCAAGTTCAGTGCAAATGGAGGCCAAAAACGAGTTAGGGGTGAGGATCGGAGATCAAGAAATACCAAAGAGCGACCGTTTTCGTTACCTAGGATGTATCTTGCAAAAGAACGGAGAATTAGATGGAGATCTCAACCATAGAATACAAGCTGGATGGATGAAGTGGAAGAGTGCATCCGGCGTGTTGTGTGACCGCCGTATGCCATTGAAGCTCAAGGGAAAATTTTATAGGACGGCAATAAGGCCGGCGATGCTGTATGGCACAGAATGTTGGGCGGTGAAACATCAACACGTACACAAAATGGGTGTAGCGGAGATGAGGATGCTTCGTTGGATGTGTGGGCACACGAGAAAGGATAAGATTAGGAATGAGGATATCCGGGGTAAAGTAGGAGTAGTAGTCGAAATTGAAGGAAAGATGAGAGAAAATCGGTTACGGTGGTTTGGACATGTGCAAAGAAGGCCTACTGACGTTCCGATTAGAAGATGCGACTATGGGACAAAGGTTCAGGGCCGAAGGGGTAGAGGAAGACCTAGGAAAACTTTGGAAGAGACTCTAAGAAAAGACTTAGAGTACTTGGATCTAACGAAGGACATGACACAGGATCGAGCACAATGGCGTTCTAAGATTCATATAGCCGATCCCACTCAGTGACTTGGATTTTCCAAGTCTCCAACCGAGAAGTTTTCCTCACTCGGGAAATTAAGGGAACACTACCCCAACCTACATGCTCCACTCAGAAAGCTTCAACATACAAGCTTTAACAAAAGAAAATTCAAAGAACTTAGCGAAGAAGGCTTTGGTGTATTTAACACAATACGTTGAAATGAAGGAAAGCTTATTTATTGATATCCCCGATAAGCTACAAATATGTACATATACATGAGTCAAAATAAACACACAAGAGGGAGCCTTCACAAAGGTTGCTTAGGAGAAGTCTCAGCAGTCGGTAGAGCCCCAGAAAGAGAAGGCACCGGAGGGGGATCATTTGGAGCCTCAGTACTGGACAGAACCCTAGAAGGAGGAGGCATCAGAGGTTGATCATTTGGAGCTTCATTACGCGGTACAGCCCCAGAAGACGAAGGCAATAAATGCCTTTGGAACAAACCCACAAATCTCTGATGATCAAGTAAAACCTGACCATCAGTTTCCTTCATCTGGTCAAGCTTCCTCTTCATGTTTGTAGCATAGTCATGTGCGAGCCGGTGCAACTGTTTATTCTCATGCTTGAGCCCTCTAATCTCCTGTTTGAGACTCATCACTTCAGCCGCCAATGATTCAACTTGGCGGGTTCGAGCAAATAGGCGTTGGGCCATATTAGAGACACAGAACCTGCACACTGAACACTGAGAGCCAGCGAATCCTTAACAGCTAACTCATCAGACCGTTTGGAAAGTAGTCTGTTATCTTTGGGAGTGAGAAGGTTCCTGGCCACCACCGCAGCGGTCATATCATTCTTCATCACGGAATCCCCAACGGTAAGAGGACCAGTAGGGGAGACGAAGGATGGGCGCCATATGTTGTCTGGAGAAGGCGGGGCTGCCTCTTCAACAAGGTTCAAGTCAAAACGACGGTCGGAGGGGCCAGACATTTTCAAAGGTGTTGAAGAGAGAAGAGGTCGGACAAATCAAGATCTTAGAAGTGGAAGAATGAAGCTTCTACTGGTGGAGATTCAAGTGTGCTTTGGAACTTAATGCCAGCCCCTATAAAAATCTGCACTCGACGAAGCTTCAGAAATCGAAGAGGCGCCTGCTCAGAAATCGAAGAGGCGTTTGCTTTCTCAAAAGCTGGGCTGCTTAGAGATCACGAGGGTTGATCTCAGAAATCGAAGAGGCGTTTGCTTTCTCAAAAGTTGGGCTGCTCAAAGACCACGAAGGCCGATCTCAAAAATCGAAGAGGCGCTCACTTTCTCAAAAGCTGGGCTCCCCAGAGACCACGAGGGCCGATCTCAGAAATCGAAGAGGCACCTACTTTTCCAGCCTTTTCCAGCCTTGTCAGCACCTGTCACACGCACACTCAGTTTTGCGGAAATTATGGGCATTCTGTCAAAGACTTCTGGGGAAGTAGAAAACACATGAATCTTACTGTTCAATCACCCACTTCCCACACGCAACAATAGCTCATGGGTACCACAAATAACTTTGCCAAAGTTCTCTGCCAAAGTTGAGCACGTGAAGCTTGCAGCTCCCACTACATCGCTCTGACCAAGAAGGGTAAAAGAATAGCAAAGAAACAGCACTAACAAAGTTTAGATCCATAAATTTTGAAGGTCTAGCTACCATATTATTACCCACAAGGGTAAAGGAACAGTACCACTGCTGGATAATTGGAAAGTCCCTGTGTGTCAACCTCTGTGCTTCGTGGCAAGGTAGACTAGCAAACATGCCCAACCTTTACTCACATTCGAGAAAACACTCCCAATAAGATTGCTTGCTCCAAAATCGAAGAGGCACCGTCCTCCGAATCTCGAGAGCCAGACTCCCAACATGACTACTTTCTTAAAAAATCGAAGAGAGGGTAAAGGAACAGTACCATTGCTGGATAATTGGAAAGTCCTTGTGTGTCAACCTCTGTGTGCTTCGTGGCAAGGTAGACTAGCAAACATGCCCAACCTTTACTCACATTCGAGAAAACACTCCCAACAAGATTGCTTGCTCCAAAATCGAAGAGGCACCGCCCTCCGAATCTCGAGAGCCAGACTCCCAACATGATTACTTTCTCAAAAATCGAAGAGACACTGCTCCCCGAATCTCGAGAGCCAGACCCCCAGCATGATTGCTTTCTCAAAAATCGATGAGGCATCGTTCTCCGAATCAATCGAAGAGGCGCTCGCTTTCTCAAAAGCTGGGCTGCTCAGAGACCACGAGGGCCGATCTCAGAAATCGAAGAGGCACCTACTTTTCTAGCCTTGTCAGCACCTGTCACACGCACACTCAGCTTTGCAGAAATTATGGGCATTCTGTCAAAGACTTCTGATGAAGTAGAAAGCACATGAATCTTACTGTTCAATCACCCACTTCCCACACGCAACAATAGCTCATGGGTACCACAAATAACTTTGCCAAAGTTCTCTGCCAAAGTTGAGCACGTGAAGCTTGCAGCTCCCACTACATCGCTCTGACCAAGAAAGGTAAAAGAATAGCAAAGAAACAGCACTAACAAAAGTTTAGACACATAAATTTTGAAGGTCTAGCTACCATATTATTACCCACAACTGTAAAGGAACAGTACCACTGCTGGATAATTGGAAAGTCCCTGTGTGTCAACTCTGTGCTTCGTGGCAAGGTAGACTAGCAAACATGCCCAACCTTTACTCACATTCGAGAAAACACTCCCAATAAGATTGCTTGCTCCAAAATCGAAGAGGCACCGTCCTCCGAATCTCGAGAGCCAGACTCCCAACATGACTACTTTCTCAAAATCGAAGAGAGGGTAAAGGAACAGTACCATTGCTGGATAATTGGAAAGTCCCTGTGTGTCAACCTTTGTGCTTCGTGGCAAGGTAGACTAGCAAACATGCCCAACCTTTACTCACATTCGAGACAACACTCCCAACAAGATTGCTTGCTCCAAAATCGAAGAGGCACCGCTCTCCGAATCTCGAGAGCCAGACTCCCAACATGATTACTTCCTCAAAAATCGAAGAGACACTGCTCTCCGAATCTCGAGAGTCATACCCCCAGCATGATTGCTTTCTCAAAAATCGAAGAGGCATCGTTCTCCGAATCTCGAGAGCCAGATACCACAGACCACTTTTTGAAAGTGCTCTGACAGAGTTAAAACATGTGAAACTGGCAGCTCCCACTACCGTGCTATGACCAAGCAGGGTAAAGGAATAGCATTACTACTTGTTGTTAGGGAGACTCCTATATATGTCGACCTCCATCCCCAACGGACAGGCAGACCTGCAAAAATGCTCAACCCTTCATCATATCTGAGAGGGCACTCCCAACGAAGCCTTTCAAAATATTCAGCTTTCTTTCCCCCCGATAATACCTCTGCAAACAAGCTATACTAGAGCAAGAATATCTCATATCATCAGGGTTAAAAGCAAGAGTATCCCATATCATGCTTTTTCCCTGTCTTTTCTTTTGGCCTTGTTTTTACCTGCAAGACAAGGAGAAAGAGAGCAATCAGTCAGCACTTGGAATCAAGCTTCCAGCCAAGAACTGACTGCCTGGAACCCCTTACCTGATTACTTACCTGGCATTGCTCTCGAGTACTCATCTTCAACATCTTATGTTTCCAGGGAAGATTCCGCATCTGCTTGAGGAACAGATAGGGCAAGTGCGAAGGATACAAGGAAGCATGTGGAGACAAGCGTAACAGCACACGTGCCGATACATTCATTACTCTGTCAAAAGCAAAAGTATCCCATATCAGCAGGGTGGAACGTACTCTAGATTTGATGGACTTGTTTTGACCCTCAAATTCTTCAGTCGGCCTTATACTCTGGAGGAAACCAGAAAACCCTCCAGCTCAGTTCAAGAATAAGCCTGTGGAAAGTTACTTCTTCAAAAGCAAAAGTATCTCATATCATCTTTTCTCATTTTTCTTCTTTTTATCCTTCATGCTGCTGCAAGATGGGGAGAAGGTGAACAATCAGTCGGAGCTCTGATTGCTTACCTTGTCTGTCACCTCTTTCAGCAGACCCCCTAGCTCGGCGACTTGGGGGACTCCTACTACATGGTTTGTATCGCGCTTGACCAAGCCTGAAACTACAAGTAAGCTTCAAGTGAAATTGATACATTACCTTGTGCATCTCCACCAGTTAAAGATACCACCCCTGGATGGAGGAAGAGTACTTCCAGAGAAGATGCCACATCTACCTATGAGACAGATAAGGCAAGTCAAGACGACACCACACTCCGATACTTAGAAGTTTCGTGATTACGAGATCATTCTCCCACAATATTTCCTAATGTCATTTGTACTAAATCATTCACTTGCACTCACTAAATGAGAGCTTGAACCTATGTACTTGTGTAAACCCTTCACAATTAATGAGAACTCTTTTATTCCGTGGACGTAGCCAATCTGGGTGAACCACGTACATCTTGTGTTTGCTTTCCTATCTCTATCCATTTATATACTTATCCACACTAATGACCGGAGCAATCTAGCGAAGATCACAAAAAGCGATCGTTTTCTCTACCTAGGATCTATCTTGCAAGAGAACGGAGAATTAGATGGAGATCTCAACCATAGAATACGAGCTGGATGGAAAGAGGGCATCCGGCGTGTTGTGTGTGACCGTCGTAGGCCACTGAAGCTCAAGGGAAAAATTTTATAGGACGGCAATAAGGCTAGCGATGTTGTATGGCACAGAATGTTGGGTGGTGAAGCATCAACACGTACACAAAATGGGTGTAGCGGAGATGAGGATGCTTCGTGGGATGTGTGGGCACACGAGAAAGGATAAGATTGGGAATGAGGATATCCGAGGTAAAGTAGGAGTAGCCGAAATTGTAGGAAATATGAGAGAAAATCGGCTCCGGTGATTTTGAACATGTGCAAAGAAGGCCGACTGACGCTCCGGTTCGAAGATGTGACTACGGGACAGAGGTTCAGGGCCGAAGGGGTAGAGGAAGACCTAGGACAACTTTGGAAGAGACTCTAAGAAAAGACTTAGAGTACTTGGATCTAACGGAGGACATGACACAAAACCGAGCGCAATGGCGTTCTAGGATTCATATAGCCGACCCCACTTAGTGGGAAAAGGCTTTGTTGTTGTTGTTGTTGTTGTAAGATTTTTGGGACGTTTTAAGGTCAATTTAACCATCTAGTTTACCACAGTATCTTTAATCATCGGTTCAAGGAAATTCTCAGATGTAAAAGAGAAAAAGTAGGTAAAATAAACCCTGAAATGACTTAAACCAATCCAAAGCTTTTCTCGTATCTATAATCTTTTTTCCTTAGGTATTCTGCATTATAATGCCAATTATTTTCTCTTTTTCTTTTTAATCCATTCTATCTACATGTTCATTTTAACTAGGTTGTGGTGTTGAATGAAATCATAATTTTTTTCAATTCTTAATGAAAAATCCTAATTTAGTTGAAGCTTCATAAATTGATTATTCTGTGGAAGTTGTTTCTACTCAGTTGCTTTTCAATTCTGAAATGTTTAGCTGGTTATTTGGTTTCAGGCAGAAATTCAACTTAATCTTCAGAAACGAAGAGGTCATGGGCTGCTATCTATACTTCGGCCGAAATTCAGTGGAGTGCTAGGTGAAGCCCTTGATGTCGCTGCTAGATGGAGTGGAGATGTTGTGAGTACTCCAGGCTTTTGTACTTTTCATCTGTCATTGTGGATTCATTGCTATGAGATTTTTTTTTTGAGAAGATTGTCTTCCCTCCAATCACATGTTTTCTGTTGTAACCTTGACTTCTGCTATTCTTATGATTTGTCTTCTTTTTGTCACAATGTTTACTGGTTTTATGCCAGCCACACTGGTTGCTGATTTCATGCCACGGTCTTGATGCATACTTTTCCGCCTGATGGTTATCTGCGTGTTTACTGGTTTTATGCCAGCCACGCTGGTTGCTGTTTTCATGCCACGGTCGTGATGCATACTTTTCCGCCTGATGGTTATCTGTGTCTGCCTTTAGCTCAGTCGAGCTGTTCTTGATTCTCTTGCAGCCTTTGCTTTAGTAAATATCCCAGAAATAATCCACATATCAACTAACACCAGGAGCTTCAAGCTTCTTGTTTTAATGATCTAGTTTAGATTTACAATAATGAAAGATGCACTACTATATGGAGCTTTTCCAAAGTCTTTTGAAGTGAATTGGTAAAATACCGTAAAAAACAATATAATTTCTCTTCACTTATTTTTAAGATTCGATGTGATGTTACTTTCTTATTCACAACTAAATTTTTTGTATGACATGTCTAACTTTGGTACCTGTTAATAAATTATACAGATCACTATTGAGAAAACAGTCCTGGAGCAAAGCAATAGCCGTTATGAGCTTCAGGGTGAATATGTGTTGCCGGGCTCGCGAGACTGCAACCCTGCTGGAAAGGAAAAGGGTGGCTTCTTGGAAAGGGCAATGGCTGGGCATCTGGGAAGTGCCATATCTTCTGTGGGGAGGTGGAGAATGAGAATGGAAGTTCCTAGAGCTGAGGTTGCTGAGATGCTTCCCCTAGCGAGACTCATTTCTCGAAGTACAGATCCTGCTGTTCATTCTAGGTCAAAGGTTGTATTCCATTAAAATAAGTTGGAAATAAGTACACAGAGTAATTAACGTCTTTCCATTCTAGCCAAAAACATAAACTGAAAAGTAATTTAATGAAAAACTCATTTTCGACATGTTTGTGTGAAATTTGCATGCAGGATCTCTTTATTCAGAGTTTGCAGTCAGTGGGATTATATACTGAAAGTCTTAAAGAGCTACTGGAGGTACTTTTTGGATGAAACACCATATGTTCATTTCTTTCTTGAAGCTGTAGTACTTGATGCTGGTGCACAACTTTGGGATTTGATTCCTTGTTATGATTTTCTCTTCTGTTTTTCATAATGAGATGAGCGAGGGGCATTATGTATTTTTGACTGTTGGTCATCCATTATTTCAGGTTATACAGGGACATTATGCTTCATCAAATGAAGTTATTGTAGAAGACTTAAATCTTCCAGGTTTAACTGAGCTTAGAGGTAGCTGGCATGGCTGTCTTGATGCAAGTGGTGGTGGCAATGGGGATACCATGGTATTATGTTTTCATTTCCTGCACGGGTTCAAATTTTCAACTTGCAAATTGTAAAGACGTATAACCCTATTTGGACAATTGGATGTTGGAACACAATTAGTAGTAAATAAAATGAGGTCTTCCTGAGCACTTTCATAACAAATTGATGACCACTTGAACCTTGCTTCTTGATAATCTTAGATCTATCTACGGTTGAACAAACTACCTTCCCATGAGATAATAAGCATAATTTTTTCCTTATTTGTGGTAGTCCAACTTAGGAAATATTGTAGTAAACTTGAAATACTAAGCTTCCATGGTTACTCTTTGGTTCTTGGCATGTAGGCTTTGTCCTCTGGTAATTGGTTTTATCATTGTATTGTTTTGTCAGGCAGAATTTGATTTTCATGGCGAGGATTGGGAGTGGGGTACATACAAAACTCAGCGAGTTCTGGCAGTTGGTGCATACAGCAATGATGATGGTTTGCGCCTGGAAAAGATGTTTATTCAGAAGGATAATGCTACAATACATGCAGATGGGACTTTGTTAGGGCCCAAAACGAATCTTCACTTTGCTGTTCTAAATTTTCCTGTTAGTCTAGTTCCTCCAGTGATTCAGGTGATTGAATCTTCTGCTACTGATGTGGTTCAATCTTTACGGAAATTTTTAGCACCAATTAGAGGTATATTGCACATGGAAGGTGATCTCAGAGGGAATCTTGCAAAACCAGAATGCGATGTGCAAGTAAGGCTCCTGGATGGTGCCATTGGGGGCATTGATCTTGAACGAGCTGAAGTTGTTGCTTCTCTAACCTCAACCAGTCGTTTTCTGTTCAATGCAAAATTTGAACCAATCATCCGAATTGGGCATGTTCACATTCAAGGAAGTGTTCCTGTTAATTTTGTTCAGAATAACATGTCAGAGGAAGAAGATTCAGAAAAAGATAAAGGTCGAGCAAGTTTGGAAGGTCGGGTGAAGGAAAGAGGTAGGGGATCTGTACATGATGTCAGTGAAAAGAAACTTTCAAGAGAGCGAAATGAAGAAGGTTGGAATACTCGATTAGCAGAAGGCCTCAAAGGTTTAAACTGGAACCTACTAGATGTAGGGGAAGTCAGAATAGATGTTGATATTGAAGATGGGGGCATGATGCTGTTAACTGCCCTATCTCCTTATGCTAAATGGCTTCAGGGTGATGCTGCCGTGATGCTTCAGGTGGGTCAAGTGAATATGGAGTTTTTGCATGTCTTTGATTCGTTAAACTGTGTTTCTTTCTTAAAATTGCTCTGTTATGTTTCAGTTTAGGGCTTAAAATTATCTGCGGATTTTATATAAATAGGTAAGAGGCACAGTTGAACAACCAGTACTGGATGGATATGCATCATTCCACAGGGCATCAATTTCCTCACCAGTTCTCTGGAAACCACTGTCAAACTTCAGTGGCATAGTTCATGTGAAATCGAATAGGTTATGCATCACTTCATTGGAGGGTAGGGTAAGCAGAAGGGGAAAACTGTTTGTAAAAGGAAACCTGCCCCTTAGAACCAGTGAAGCATACCTTGGAGATAAAATCGACTTGAAATGTGAAGTTCTGGAAGTACGGGCAAAGTATATTCGTAGGTACGTATTATAATTTCTAATAAATGAAAGTATAAGTTCATTGGCATCATGAAACTAGGTTAACTTTTGGATTCATATTCTTGTTTCTGGTACAAATCCAAAAAATGTAGAACAATAAAGTAAGAAAAACTGAAGAAAAAAGAAATGAGATAACCTTTCTCTGAAAGAGATGTCTTTCCCTTCTATGGGATGTTTTCTTAGTAGTCTTGCCTGCATATTCCTTTTATTTGCCTCCCAAAGAAAACTAACGTATTGAATAAGATTGCAGTGCCCAGGTTGACACTCAGATGCAGATAACTGGTTCTATATTGCAACCAAACATCTCTGGAAATATTAAATTGAGCCATGGTGAAGCATATCTACCACATGATAAGGGTAGTGAGGCGGCTTCTAATAGATTGGCATCAAATGAGTCTAGGCTTATGGCTACTGGTGTTGATCGGGCAGTTGCCTCAAGGTATGTATCACGGTTTTTCAGTTCACAACCTGCTGCTTCGAGGACAAAATTCTCTCAACCCTCAGGTAAGACATCACTGCCTCTTTAGCTTCATTCATTGTGTGACCTTACGACCATGATACTCTAAATCATACCAAATATTTCATGTATGTACAGTTGGTAAAGTTGATGTCTGAAAATTTCAAATTCTGCTGGATCTAACCTTCTATTTTCTGGATTAGCAGTTGAACCAGGTGAAAAGGAGACGGAGCAAGTGAACATTAAACCGAACGTAGATATTCAGCTTACTGATTTAAAGCTTGCTCTAGGACCAGAGTTGAGAGTAGTTTATCCTCCAATTCTCAATTTCGCAGTTAGTGGAGAGCTTGATTTAAATGGCCCAGCTCATCCCAAATTGATACAACCTAGAGGCGTCTTAACTTTTGAGAATGGTGATGTAAATCTTTTGGCAACTCAGGTGAGTCAGTTTATTTCTTATGTTCTTGTAGTACACAGTAAATTTCTTCTCGTGGGAAGTTCAAGCTTATCCATAACTCATGGTTCCTCTGTTTTTCGGCTTATTCTTTCTCCGTCTCATAAACTTCCCAAAATTGCAGGTGAGGCTCAAAAAAGAGCATCTAAATATTGCGAAATTTGAGCCCGGAATTGGACTAGATCCTATGCTAGATTTAGTTCTGGTAGGTTCTGAGTGGCAATTCAGGATTCAAAGTCGAGCCAGCAACTGGCAGGACAAATTGGTGGTGACCTCAACTAGCTCTGTGGAACAGGATGCCCTCTCTCCTACTGAGGTGCTATTTTTAAATGTTAGCGGGAGTCAATTTTCAGTTACTAGACTTTCAGGCACTTTCATCTGATCCATTTTTTTCCATATGCATAGGCTGCTAGAGTCTTCGAAAGTCAATTGGCGGCGTCCATCTTGGAAAACAATGGGCAGCTCGCATTCCAAAAGCTTGCAACTACAACACTGGAAAAACTAATGCCGAGAATAGAAGGGCAAGGAGAGTTTGGGCAGGCAAGGTGGACGCTAGTGTATGCACCGCAGATCCCTAGTTTGCTCTCTGTTGATCCTACGGTGGATCCTCTCAAATCCATAGCCAGCAATATTTCATTTTGTACAGAAGTTGAAGTCCAATTCGGGAAACGTCTTCAGGTAAAACTCTTCAACCCGCTGTTAATTCTTTTACTTCTCAAATTGGATGAACACCTTACGTAGGGCTTTCATTGATGTGAAAACATAGAAACTTTACAGATATTGTTAACATCTCATTTTCCTTCACCTTACATTTATGATCATTTAAGAGTATTCGTTTCTTTTTCCCTCAGGCCTCGATTGTTAGGCAAATGAAGGACTCAGAGATGGCAACGCAATGGACCTTGACCTACCATCTTACGAGCCGCCTGCGGGTTCTCCTGCAGTCTGCTCCGTCAAATCGCCTCCTTTTCGAATATTCTGCCACGTCTCAGGATTAGTCTGCTACCCTTTTTTCTTCCTTTTGATGTATCATTATTCTTTGCTCAAAATTGAATGAGCTCCTTTGTAAGTTGTGCGCCATCACTATGTAAATAGTTCAATATTTTATCAATGAAAGAAAATCACCAGTTCTAAGTTTCCAACACTCTATATGTTATGTTGTGACTTCGCTCCTTTGTCAGTTGGTGCGCCCTCACTAAGTAAATAGTTCAATATTTTATCAATGAAGGAAAATCACCAGTTCTAAGTTTCCAACGCTCTATATGTTATGTTGTGACTTCTATTAATCCGTGAATCGTGTCCATCACGTGCCTATTACCAACCATTACCTTTTTTTTTTTTTTGAAGAAATTCGGGCATGGCTGCCCATATTATTACCCACAACCAACATTACAACACAAGGGCCCAAAACGTACAACACAGAGGTCCAAAAACAAAAAACACAAACAAACAACAGAAGCCCAACCAAAAGGTGAGACTAAAGCAAAGAAACACAGAAACAACCAGAGCCGACGCGTTTTCCGCCATAGCCGCCGCAGCAACCACCAAAACCGCAGCCGTGCATGTCGATCCAGCCAAAGTCGCACCCCAAACAACGCCGCGCCTCACCAAAGTCGCACCCCAAACAACGCCGCGCCTCACCGAAATCAGCAACCAACCATTACCTTTTTGGAACCATCTTTTTAGTGAGGATCCTAAAAATCTATGAATCATGATTGTACTAAGATTTAGTTAGAGGCCGCACCATTACGAAACAAGATTGTACTAAGATTTAGTTAGGGGCCGCGCGAACGCAGGCCCCCGCTGTCACAAATTATGACATTGGTTCTCCCGCTTGGGGAGACCATAGAGTGGCACCCCTCCTATATGTGCAATGGAGGTTACCAACCCTAGGCCATGGGGCTTCTAGATCCCCCATAGACCCTGTCCAGGTAAGTATGTTTCAACTACCTCCGCCACCGTTTTTATACCCAATCTTCTCACCCCCGCTCTTTGCTCTCAGCCGATGTGGGATTTGTCGAAACAACAGAATCAATCAAATTATGAATAAAATGCAACCAATTGTTACATACAAAATTTGTCATCTACCCTTTACCCATCGTTTACCAAAAGAGAAACATAACGGAGTTTAAAGCCAAAATTTCGACAGGAATAGAGTAATTTTGTTCAAAATTCTTCAGTTTTGCGCGAGTGGGACCACAAGAACAAATGAACTTGTCACCAGAATCTCCATGGATCCTTGTATGGAGGAACATAGTTTTCTGTGGGAGGGAGAAGGTGAAATGAAGCTACTGTTTTTTGCAAGATTGGCCCCACCTGCATCACATATAATGTACATAAATACTAAGCTGGAAGCATCAACAAAATTCAACTGAGAGAGAGAGAGAGAGAGAGAGAGGAGATTTACTATGTTCCATTGCTTGTTGAGGGTTGAAGCATTTATAGAGTAAAAGTAACCTGCAATCGAGTTTTCGCAGTATTCAAAAAGAGGTTCTAGAGTGTAATATTAACCCAGTAAGAACATAGCAAACGCATTTTGTAGTCGAAACACACATAAGTAGTTTCCTACCATCTCGTTCAGTTGTTGAAGCCATATAGTGTCTGTAATTGGTAGATTCGTCAGCCTGCACGATTTGCAACTGTTGTAAGAATCAGGAAGAAACCAGAACAGTATATCGAATATTTCTTCACCGAAAACTGATAAAGAATGCTTACAGTTTTTGTGGGTGCCTTGCGAACAAGGTACTCATAATACCAGTATGGCCGACCATCAATCTGTGGAAATAACAATGAGCCAAGCTTCACATGCATATACATATTACATTTTTACCAAGTAGATTTTAGAATGATGGCTTCAGCCACGTAAAACCAAATAGGGGGCGGCAATCTTACTTCACCAGAGTGTGCATCAAGAACTTGACTCTCAGCCTGGCGCTGAGTTGAGGTGACACGCTGCAGAAAACTGTAGCCTGTGAGTTCAAATAAGCATCATCCCGTCCAACCACAATACTCAAAAGCAGAACAATATTCTCTCAAACGTCGATAAGGTACATTTGAGTGCTCCATCTCATCCAACCACAATACTCTTTTTTACAGACTACCCTCAAGAAAATTGAAGGCAAATCGGTTTAACAGATGTTTACTAATCAGCCTTAAAATCAAATGCTTTTAGAAAATATCCGGGTGGAACATTACCAATGCGGACTTGTCTGCCAAAACAGAATCAGCAACGTCTTTTGCAGTCCATGTACTCTTGTCTTGTGATTTTATAATCTTTGAATTCGGGGGACCTATCTGAATCAAAGGAAATTAAATTATAAGCATTCGCAAAGTAACGAAAGGGATTTTGCATTTAACAACCAGTGATCTTATCAGGAGTTACCGAAATGGAAATGATGAGGTTATCAACAATGTCAACGCGCTCAGAAACAATGCGCAGGCGTGCATCAGCTGCATAAGACATAAAACAGTGTCCAGTGAGAATGTATAAGATCCGCGTTCATGACCAATACCAAAATACGGGTACAGATATATGGTAACCCAGAAAATATAAAAGAAGATGTAAAACTTCATCACTCTACTTATGAAGCTGAACTTACGAGATAATGGTGCGGCTGATGAATAACGCTCTGGCTTTCTCGATTCCACCCTTGAAACAGGTGAAAAGAGTCAGGTTCCTACAAATTATATGCCCATGACAAATTCCGAAGAATTCAACTAGTTTACTTTTGTGCTAAGAAAAAAGAAAATTCACACCAGAAAACTAATATCAGCATTTCAATTGAAGGGGAAAAATGCATACCACTTGAAAAGGGCCTTCTTGGATGGCAACTCCATTGGGTATAGATAAGAATATGAATTTATTTCATCAAAAAATGGAGCCATTTTCAAGTCTGCCTCTGCAAGGGACCCTGCAACATCGGATTTTATGAGCAGAAGTGCTTCCTACAAATAAAACACTTCTAGTTCTAGAAAAAGAGGTTTATGTGCACAAGTGCTTCCCACAAAAGCAGTTCCCAAAGCAAAAAACCCATGCAATTTCAGTAACTGTAAAATCAAGTGACCAAAACACCAAAGTGTGAATTGAGAAAGTTCACCTGGAGATGGTGAGACTAGTAAAACAGGAGCAGAAATGCCAAACATGAGCAACTCTCTTCTGCCAACCCCATTTTCCAAACTGGGTTTTGAGTTGGCACTTGAACTTAATTTCCATTTGTTCTGCTGCATCACAACTCTACCTTGCTCTCTAAAGTACCAATAAAAATAAGAATTTAGGAAGATAATTAAATAAAAAAAATACATAGAACATAAATATATAAAAAAATAAATTCATAGATATTACAGAAAGTACCTGAGAAGGAGATTGGAAGGAAGAAGATGGTTGGATGTGAAGAGAGAGAGGGAAGGATAGAGAAGAACCACCATTGTATTTGTTGCTCTCTTCTTTCTTGCCTTGCTTTGAGTTTTCTTTCTCTCTTGCCTTCTTCCTTCTGTTGCCTCATCCACTCAATTGTCCCAACTCCCAACAAATGTTGAAAATCCAGTTTATTTTAACTGTTGTATCCTTGTAATAAAGAGGGTATTTTGGTCTCATTACCCACTGCCCAATCACACTCTGCCACGTAGTGGTGCCTAGCCATGAAACCAAATGCAATGTAGTTTTTTTAGACCGACCACGTGTGATATATTATAACATTCATACTTCGTAATCCGAAATACTATGAAACAAAAACTATTCCAGAAACAATAATTTTCGTTGTCATACTTACAATTTGAAAAAAAACTTCTTTAAAAAACACTTCTACTCATAATCATTTTTATTGCAGACGTTTTAACTAGGAGCATGTTGAAATTTTAAATAAGTTCAAAAAAGCTATAAACTTTTACCGTCAAACTTCGTTAAAAACGTTTTTAATAACATAACATGCATCAGTAACAACAACGTCACGTAAAAGTGTAACAGTAAATTTCTTTCCAACGGAAAAGAGTTATCCGTGTTTCCAAACAGGGTGCCAAAAAGTTTATAGTAAATCCAGTAAAACGTCCGTGTCAAATTGTCAATGTTATACAAAGTGAATAGTCTTTATATTATTCTGGGCTTCCCTTTCTAAAACACACCAAAATATAGAAAGAGAATTCCCCAAAATTTGTTTCGCTTTTCCTCTCTCTCTCTCTCTCTCATTTCGTCCTCACAGCGATCTCGGAAATTAGGGTTTCAGGGACTCCGGGCGTTTCATTTGCTTCTCTGGAATTTGAAGATCGCCTCGCACTCGGTGAGCTTATGCCATTGATATTGATTCATGCTGTTGATATTTTTATTTATCTTTATCGTTATTCGGTTTCAAAGTTACGGTGATTCGTGTTTGGGAATTGCTTTTTTCGTGATGTGAGTCGAGTTGATTGTCTGAAGTTTTTGCAATTTTGATCTGTTTGTGTGTTTTGTGTATGAACATGGAGGTGTTCTTGCTGGACTAGGGAAGAGGGAAGGTTTAGGTGATTGAGGAAAGTGAGATTTTATGCTTAATTGCTTGAATTTTGATGAGAAAACCAGTAATCGGATGTGGATTTTGATTAAAGTGAATCTTGTCTGCAGGTTATTTGCTTAAATCGTATATTTTTTTTTGTTTGAGGAAATTGGACAGTTGGATGTGAATTGAGCATTGGATAGTGATCTGATATTGTCTTAAGTCGATCTTCGTGTGTACTTAGAATTGAGTTCTTGATAAGTAGAGGTACTAACTTTGACTGGCTCTGTTTGTAAAGGATTATGGATTTGGTAATTATTGTGATTAAACACACACAGAGTGTTTGTTTTTGCAATATCTTTCCTCAAGAGATTCCTCTCGTCATGTAATAAAGATCAAAGATATGATATGGGATCGATCCCAGCCTCCTAATGCTAAATATGGTTTCATATTTTGCTAGTAACACTCTCACCGCTAACTGAAAGTTCTTGGTACAACAGTTAATTTGTGCTTTGAGTAACTTCACAATAATGAACCAGGATACTTGTGGAACCCCCGTCTTTTTTTAAATATTGGCTTATTTTGGCATGGAAGCTTAGCATTTTTGTTTCTTCAATGATTATATTCTTAATGTTGTCTGATAATATCGGGTTTTCCGGTTCTTTTAGAGTGGCAGATTTTTATGATTTAAGACCATGAAGCCAGGACTTTCTTCTTTGAATCCCTACGCAGCAGCATACATTCCAATCTCCAAGAGGGAGACAGATGATAGAACTTTTGTGACAACGAAAGATTCTAGCCACAGCAATGAGTCAGTCTGGTTTGGGAACCCTCAAAATTTTACCCAGAATCAACACCATAGCAAAGCTTATCTTCAATCTGATGCCCCAGGGACTGCAACACTCCAGAGTCCAAAGTCTTATGCTGTAAAGAGCTACCCTGCCCATGACTCTTATGGTTCATTTTCGCAGAATATGAATAAAGTGTCAGAAAATGAAGACTTTGATATGGATATGGAATTTCTCGGACTGTCATTTCCTGGTATATCTGATCAGTCCCTTAGTGATGTTTATTTGGCGAATAGGGGTGACCTGGATGCCACCATTGACATGCTGAACCAACTTGAGGTGACTTTCATTTTTTTGTTTAATGTTGGTGTTGTTAAATATTCTTCTTTTGGAAAATATCATACATTATCCTCTGCCATCAGTCCACTACTTTAATGTTTGTTGTGCATTAGGTAAATACTCAAATACTGTTGCTCACAATTCGATAACAGTTGAATATTTAGGGTACCTGTTTATTTAGAGCACTTCAGGTTGTGATGTTGTATCATTTATAACAGGTCAAAACTCGAAAGTCTATCCAATTTGAAGCACAATTGTGCATGTGCTGTGAGTTTATGACCCACCTCGTGTCACCTTTCTTCAAGGAAAATGAATAATCCTCCTTTCCTTCAACATATTTCTCTTTTGCAAGTTTGCAAGTTTTTTGTACTTTGCATGCTTTGGCATGGTTGAATAGTGCAAATAGTGTGTGATTCATTTGGCTTATAATTACAGTAATGTGTTTTGTATATCTGCTGTATTTCTCTGACATGGTAGAAGTCCTTTTCTACTGTAAGTGTTTGGTTCTTTGCGATATGTCTTATATGTGTGGAAATTGTATTCCTGAGCGAAGAATCGTCTTGTTTCATTGATATGATGGAATATTGGACTGGTAATGATTGGCTAGTACAGTATTATTTGCTTATTGATTCTTGTTATTCATTGATATTGTCTTGTTTCGAGCCAATCAATGCCCATTCTTTTATTTGCTTACTACAGTGTTTGCTTAAGACACAGATAGAGTGCAGCGAACATTTTGTTTGGTTGCAACTCAAGCGAAGTTTTATTCTGAACTTGATACAGTTAGAACATACTGGAATATTCATCTCTGGGTGTTTGTTACCTTTAACATTAACATCAAACATATTGGAATACGGTTTTTATGTTTATGATTATCAGCACAGAAATAAACTCTGCGCCTGACTTACATGTTTTATTATTTACCTTTATCAGCATTTCATTTAACTTTGTCACTCATCCCAAAAATCTCTGTTTCTTACTACAGTTCTGTGTAGTCGAGTCTTCTGAAGGTCTTCCAGACACTCTGGACATTGGAGATGTTTCTGAATCTGGGTTGGCAGGCAATAGTGCATGGAAGCCGAAGAACGTAGCAGGTGAAGCCAGCGGTTCACCCAAATCGTAGCTCCCAAGCTCGTCTTCAGTTTTATTGTGTGGGTAACAAAGAAATGTCAATTGTTTTACTCTTTTGACATGTTTGGTTTTATGGTTACAAGAAGTATACAAATAGAGGATCGTCTCGTGGGGGAGGCCGAGGCGGAGGCACACATAGTTTGACGATACATGGTTATGGTTGTATAGTTGTTAGATGTTTGTGTTGTTAACTCTCATGTTTTTAGACACCTTGAGGTTTTATGAGCCAAAAAGCTCACACTGCAATTTTCATGCAACTCGGTTTTTTTTTCCAAATGAAAGTGATTTGCAATTTTCTTTGGCGCCTTAAAAGCTTCGATATAGCGGAAAATGTTTGGCTTCTCATGGTTCCATGAGTTGAGGTGTGCACATCACAATTCGATACTCTGAAGGGACTTTCATAGCATACATACACCCATCACTGTGGCGTTCCACTCTGCCCCGCCCTGAAAGTTGAAACCCTACTTCTTGAATGGACGCTTTGGACCCGATCCAAACTTTTAACGAATTTAACCCTTTGAGTGAAGGACGGTTTGCAGATTACATCTCCCCCCAAAATATAACTAGAATATATACAAAACAAAATGTGAGGGTGATTTACATCCATCAAACGCGGTCTTAAACCATTTCCGACAATCAAAAATGTTCCTAGATCGTACAAACGCTTTTAGAAAAAGCGAGCATGTATTTCTTTAAAAAGCCCTTCCAAGTACTTTTCTAGAAAGTAAGTTTTAATTCAAATTTCAAGATTTTTATAACAAACGTGCTTCCTCGAGCATGAGTGTATCTTACAGAAGCAGTCTTAAACGAAAGAATAACTTGAATGTTTAAAAAATGTTGTGCAGCTAAATGCCTAGTTTTGGTTTATGGTTACTTTGTCTAACAACACTAGCAAAGCTTAAAGCTCACGTTTGTGTTTGGAAAACGCTTACACAAGGAAAAATATCCCTGACACTACTAAGGAAACGATTTAATTTACAAAAACACAGAAAAAAAAACAAAGGGAAAGAATAAAATAAAATCAAAACCCTCTACTTTTAGGAACATTTTGCCGCCAGGCTATCCCCGGCTGAGCAGCCGTTCCTCTATCTGGTTCGCCATAAAACTGACCAGCTCTCTGCGCCGGTGGTGGCGGAGCCCACCAGCCTTGCTGCATAGGAACATTAGAATTTTGTACGTTGGGTGCCATCGGTTGAAGAGACTGCGGCTGGTTTGCTAAACTCATATGGGCTGCCGGCATTTGTTGCTGGTAACTGTTCAGCGGCGGCCGCGGTTGCAAACGCTGGTACTGAGTTTGGGGTTGGGAAGGTACATTAGGCTGCCACTCCGGGATGTCATCGTCATCGTCATTCCACGGATGAACTGCAACACTACTTGCCTGATGAAACGTATTACTACTACTACTAACACTATTGTTTTGTCCATATTTTTGTATCAGCTCTCTCATTTGATCTACAGGGCGAGAAGGGGTATGGGACTTGGGGTACAAGGGTGGCGCCGCCATTCCAGGCCCCCTAGATGAGGGCCTCTGGGCAGAAAACTGATTCGACCCACCAGTGAAATTGAATTCAGGGAGATCATCTTCGTCCCGAGAAGCACCAGGGCCAAACCCGGGAGGAACATCATCGTCGTCGTCGTCATTGTCATCCTGTGCAGGTGTAGTGTGGGTGGGAGGTAAGGGCCGGGACTGAGCCGGCTTAGATGTGTAGTTGGTATCGTGCTGCTGTCTCCTAGAAGATGTAGTAGTAGTAGTAGTAGTAGCAGAAAACTGTTGCTTTTTCGAAATGTGTTTGTGGTGAGAGGATTTCGGCGAAGTTAATTTTCTCCAGACAATAACACCGAGGAGGCCATTATCAATAGTGTTAAGTGCCTCAACGTGCCCCTTGTCAATAATCTTGCTGAGCATGTCTACGGTTTTATTATGGGGAGGGCAAAAATAAATTTCCACGCCCGAACACGGCTCAGAAAAACCGACTCTCTCATCCGTTACGTACGACTCAGCCACCTGCACGGCGGAACACAAGTTTTAGTATCAAAATAACAGACGCATGTTGGTGAATGGGATTTTGCAGACGGATCTGGATCCGCGTTTGATGTTGTTTACCTCACGAATGCTTTCACATTCCGTTTCCGACGACCCCTCATCCGGAACAAAATGCACGACCTGCACAAAACGAACATCAGTAGGCTGCAGCTCTATCATACAAAAATTAAATTTCTAACGACAAAAAGAAAATCTAATCCATGCGACATTTTGGTACAATCTTCGTTTGAAGGTTAATTACATTCCCATGTGATTAATTTTCTAATTCAGGTTATTGAATTATCTAAGTTTCATTCGCCCGTCCAAAACAAAGGCTGTAAATACCGACGGTAATTCAAGCACAAAACAATTTAACACAAGTGTCTTGAATCCGTCTTAGAAGCTGACCGAATTCGTTAGAAACTTCAAAATCGTTTTCCCTTTTCTTTAATTTTGTATTCGCGGATTCAATGAATTGACCAAACTGCCCAGAAAAGAGAATGCACTGCACGATAGAACTAAGCGATCTCCAAAACCAAGTTTTCTAAATGTTTCCTTTTTTGAGTTATCACAGAATAACATAATACAAGAATCTGTAAACAATAAAAATAAACTTGGAGATACCATGACTGCACGACTTCGGGATTGTGGCAGCTCTTGCAGGAACTTCTCAAAAGCATCGAGTCTGACTCTTCCCTTGATATCAAGACAATCAGGCCACTCTTTTGCTGTGGTTTTTTCACCGCTGCAACAGAAAAGTTGGATTAGCATGAATCAGAAACAAAGACATTAGAGTTTTAATACGGATTGCAGAATGCTTGAAAGCTTTACATTTGGCAAATACATGTGTGCATGTATGCATGCAATTTGCAATACCAAACAAAACACCCTTTTTGTCCAAGTATCAAACATAAATTAATCAAAGTCGATCTCCTAAATTTACCGAATTTCAATTTGAGTATCATCTTTAGTTTCAATTAGTTACTTCAGTTGAGCCATATTACTATCAAACAAAACACAAGCATGGCCCTCTATACACAGATGAAAAAGAAGAGGGAGCAGAACCTAAAGTAGAATAAAAAAGAACATCTATCACAAACCCGTCACGGCACTAGTCCACCTATACTGCACCCTGGCATAGTTCTAATAAGGTCCACATGTAAATTTAACTTCAAAGAGTGTCTCCAAATATGGCTAATAACCATTCATGACTCAGAATGAGGAAGTTCAAGACAGAAACATAATACTCAGACATGCAATAAACTTTGATTAAAAGAGCAGTCCACCAATGCAGTGGACCATCCACACACACAGTCTTCTTTGAACAAATCTGTACACAGGAAATGCAGAACAAGGAGAATTTACTACAATACGAATGTTTAAAAGACAAACCTTTTATAGATTCCGATAACAGAGGCCATGGGTGAAAGATTCAGTTGCAGGGAACCACTCCAAACACGTTCACCCTTCGGTGTGCCAACTAGTCTAGATACTGATTTTTCAGGACTGTCTCTGGATTTCACATCGGCACTCACATCACAGGATTTTATATCTGCACTCACTGGTTTTCATAACAGAATGACTGTCAGTTTTGTTTCCGGCAGGATTGTCTGTATTGATCACAGCAGGACTGTCAGTTTTGATCACAGTAGGACTGTCGGTTTTTATCATAGCAGGACTGCCACCAGTTTTCAAGTCAGCATCTGACTTTGTATCTGTTGTGCAACTATCATCAACCTTCTGTGGAGAGGCGTTAACGGTATCTTTGGGACTTGGTACTGAAGACTTCGATTCAGAGACTGTCTCGGAGTCATCCCTGTCTGAGGTGGGTGTAACTTTCTCAGGGAGAATCTCGAATGGTGGTTCTGTGTCCAAGGATTCCATGAACTCATCTAGGGAGACAATTGGAGGAAGATCCTTCAATCCATCATCCACCATAAGGCCTTGCATTAAATCAGTAGCTTCAGTAGAAGGAATGGTAAAGGGGTAGACACTTCTGTCTTCAGTATTACTCTTCTCACCTGCAGCATTCACTTTGTCCTTGGGTTTATTGGGTTTTGAAGGGGTAGACACTTCTGTCTCCTTGCTTCTTGGTTCACTATGATTATGTGATGTTGCATCCAGTGGGATATCAACTGAAGCACTATCATATTGTTCAACTTCAACTTCACCCTTATGTGTTTTTTTCACTAAACGTCTCATATCAACTTCCGAATCTGGTAAAACAACCATTTGTGCTAGCTCTTCAGCCTTTGCCATCCGCCATTCAGAAAGCTCCTTTGAAGCAAGTTCTTCTGCAGTCATTGAACATAATCGTTCTGGAGGTATTTCTCCAGACATAACTCTCTCCCTTAGTTCTGGATTATTACGATCTTTTAGATTGAACAAAAGGGACCTTCCCTTCTCTTTATACTTCTTATTCACACCTCCAAATAGTTTGAATAGTTCTGCTTCAATTCTAAAGGCTAACTCTTCTGGAGACTGAACTACTTGTTCTTCTGGGGGTCCACCCATTTCCTCAAGATCCAACATCTCTTCTTCAGCAGGTTGAATTTCCTTCCTTCCTTCCATTTCCATTTCAGAATCCAAACCCAGGACAGCCCATTTCCCTGCAAAAGTTCATCTTTGACAAACAAGTTGTCACTAAATGAAACATTTTCATGAGGAAAAATATTACTTGACTGGAATTCATTCCCATCGCATATTGAGGTCAATGTGGAAACATTTGTAGTTGCATCAGCCAAATGTCTTTGGCCTGCACCTTCATCATTAGTTTTCATAATAGAACAAGTTTCAGCGGATGGAGAATTCTCCTTAGGCTCTTCAGATTCAGGTTTAAAAGGATGAGAGCCAGGTTGGGGAGCTTCCTGTGTTTGCTCCTGAATTGCTCCAGCCTCCCCCTGAGACTTCTTTCTAGAATCCACATATTTATCTTGCTGCTGATTAACCAATTCCAATGCAGCCGCTAACGATTCCCTCATCTTGGACCTTACGGACTCAAATGATTCATTTTGAAGCTTTCGAGTTGGTTGTATCCGCGGTGTTTGATTCTTTTGACTAGAAGACCGCTGAGACCCAGACCTACCAGAAAAGGATTCCATCTTTACCATTTTCTTATTCGGCACTGGCGAATGAGGAGATCCTGGCACATTTTGCGCAGCCTCCATGGACTCCAGCTTTACCATTTTCTTATTTGCAGCTGGCAAACGAGGTGATCCTGGAGCATTGTGCACAGATCCCATTTCTACAGCTCTTCTGTTTGATACAGGCCCTTGCTGCAGCCATGGTCTATGTTCCATATATGCCACACGCTTGTTTGGCATTGACAACTGAGGTGCCTCTGGATTATTAGTCATGGGTTCCAATGTTGCCTTTCGCTTTATTGTTGACAACTGATGTGAATCGTTGGCCAATGATCCAAGCTCTCCCAGTTGATTGCTAGGTGTTGAAATTTTCGGTGAACCAAGATTCCCATTCGCATTAGCAATGTGTCCCATTTGGAAGTATGACATTGATAAGCCATGTGACCCAGGATTGTCAGGCACAGGATCCAGCATCAGTTCCATTTGCTGATTTGATACTGAAAGGTTCTGTGACTCTGGGTTACTAGATACAGAACTCATCCCTGCCATTTGAAATTCTGGTATTGATGAGTCCATACCTTTCAAAATGGGGTCCATCTGAGGCATTTCCATGCTTGATATTGGCAACCGTGGTGACAGAAGATTGTTTGACATGCTAGATCAGAACATCAAGTTTCCTGACACTCCCAGTTTGCTCCTAGTCTTCAAGAGGTGCAACTCCAAAGAGAAACATATAAACTGCGATAGAAGAGAAAAGAACTGATCAGAACATGTTCTTCCTTTAACAACGAAAAACGAACAAAGAAAATACAACAAAACTCAGTTCATTAAATTCACAGCGATTTAGACCTCAAAAATATATAGAACACGAAGGGAGAGCAAAGATCAGAAGGGAACTAGTGCATCTAATCAGTAGGTACATATGCGTGAATTGAAGGGCGAAAACCATAAATAAAAGAACACAAACCCAGTATATAACAACCATTTAGGGTACCTAGGGGACCTTTTTTCAAACACAAATTTCCTAATATTGGGTAGTTAATAACACAGACAAAACAGGTAAGCTGCTTGTAGCGCCAATATTGAGAGGCTCAATGGGTTTCAAGTCTACCAAATAGACACGGCTCATTGAAGTTCAAGCCCTGTAGTAGAATTCTCAGGGACACGACCAGAAACAGAGGTTTCTAAGCAAAAACATTAACCCAAATAATTACATCTTTCTGTATCAAATCTTTGAAACTTCCATTCTGTAGTCAGTACTCGCAACTCACAACTCAATACGAAAAATAGACATTTAGAACTGGTTAGCACTTTCCTAACCAGTCCCTAAACCAAATGATGATGGAAGCTGAATTCCATCTCTCAACGAGACTTCATGTTGAGCTATCGATTGTGTATGATAAAACCCCTTTTAAACTAACTTAAAAAATTGTATAAAAACTTTCTTTGAGTTTTAGATATCCTCCAAACTTAAAAGTATATCAAATTAATTATTTACTTATATTCCCCAATTGTTGCTTTTGTCTTTGAACCCGGAATAACATGGCTGGAGAATCTGGGCAGCTCAGTAGACAATCATGCTTATTCACATTAAAATTCCGAATTCCAAAAACATTCAATTTATTAAGCTGGGATTACTGGTTGCACAAGCTCTCTCTGTTCTCTTGGGGGCCAAAGCACAGGCAACAATGAACGGGGGTGGAAGCCCCTTTACAACCCGTGAAACCGAAACAATCACAAATCCACTGGAGAAAGACAAGGATTTCGAGCCAGTAGAAAGAAAAAATCTGGAAGCAGCAAGACCGACCCTATACCAGTTTAGGCAGGTCTTTTAGCACTCCAGTTTCCCGTGAATCAACACCTTGCGGGCCACATCGATTGAGCATTGAACTGGTGTTGATTTCTTCATGACAGGGTACAATAACCCTCAAGGAAATTCTTCATTTTTGCTAAAGCAAGTCCACCATTGAGGTCCCAGAGCTTCTCAAATATTGGCAAAGCAGCACCCAACATTGCATACAAAAACTGCCCAACCAGTAAATCCACCAGCTTAAGGTAATCTCTTTTGTCACATATTCAAAAAAAAACAAACAAACAAATTAAAAAGAGAAAGGAAGAAGAATCTACAATACACCAACTCTTTTCCCTCTACAGAACAAGAGTATGCACAATCGACTCTTCTGGGAAAATCTACGAAAACTTACTCAAGAAGCATAGATTGTTCTTCAAGAAAACATATTACATACATAAAGAGGTCTTCTTTCATGGAAGAAAAACGTGTCTTAACATTCCAAAGTCGTCAATCTTCATAAAAAGTACTACCAAAAAACCCTAATTTTAAACACACCAGCAAAAACAATTCAACTAGACTCGACCCGAATGCGAAGAAAAACACAAAAAAATTAATAAACATACGTAAAAACAAAAACAAAAAAAAAACTAAACGGTTATTATCTCATTCACCAACATAAAAACTAAAAACTGAATCAACCCACATCAATCCATATCCAAAAAGCCCTAATTTCAAAACCAACAGCAAAACCAGCATGAAATGACTAATATCAAATCGAAACGACAGCAATCGCATCCAGAAACACAAAATCCAATCAGAAATTACCACCAATCTAATCTAGACCGTATACTTACATGAACAAAATGGAGCGGCGGTCGGATAAACTGATCGGCGATTGGGCGGTGAAGCTTTGTGCGAGCTGAGCTGAGGAGGAGAGTCGGCTGGAGTGGTGAGGATTAGGTTTTGGGTGGGTCTGGAAGATTCGACAGAGCGGAAAATAGAAAACCCTAATTATATAAAAAGAACTTAAAAATCTGAATGGGAGGAGTCTAGGAGATCGTATATATATCGAGTTGGAGCGCCGAAGAGCGCTTCTGTAGATTAAGGGTGAGTTGCCACGTGTGGTACCCGCCATCTGGATCCATGGCCCACTTTAGATAACGCCCTCACTCATCGTGGGACCATTAGGCCTAAGAGCATTCCAATGACGGCTTTATCATCCATGAGGCTATCACATTTCCAACGTTAGAGAGAAATTTAATTCCGAATGAGCTAAAAAATTGGGCTAGATCTACCATTCCTTTTCTGGGTAGCATAAAATCGGGCTGCATCTAACCCTAAAAAACAGTGGGTCCACAAAAAAAGTAGTAGTAACCCATGTGAGCAAAATTATATAATTCTCCATCCACTTACGAATACACTTATACTCTCTTTTTATTATTTTTTTAATTCTTTTTTCTTACTTATTTTTCTTGCAATTTGGCTAATTAATGATTGTTTTAAATTCCATAAGAATTAAAATTTGAAATTGATTTAACGATCATGGGCATTGATGGATGAAATTTTCAAATAATTTTTTTCAAAATTGTATGATACTAATTTACTAATTGGTGCTAAGTAAATTGTTATGTTATACATGAAAATCAAATTATTTCAGAGGTCAAAGTGGGGGTTTGTTTCTTTCAATGAAAATTGAGATAAAGGAATCTAATCTAACGAACGATTTATAAGTGATGAAATCTAACTTTGTCACAATTTGAACGTTTTAGGTTGAAGGATTCATAAAAAAAATTAAGATAGCAAGTTCAAAAATCAACTTAAGAAAAGCTAACACAAAAAAAAAAAAAAAAAATCGCTTAATCAAATTACTATATAAATAAATATATATAGCCCCATATAAAGCCCAAAAGATATAGTCCCTCATTGGGAGAGATTCTTTTATAAAGCTCCAAAGATTCCTTGGAGCTCTAAAATTGGCTATATCCACCACTTTTCCAACCCCATATAGAGCCCCTCACTAGGGATGCTCTAACAATTTATTACACGACATGTTAACCCTATACGAAAACACAAGTTTCAGATCAACTTGTCAACGAGTTTGATTGTTATCAAGTAACTCGGTAAAAACACGTTAAAGTGTATTGTCGTTATTGGATCACCTGCTAAGAGTACGATAAAATAGTATTTGTCAAATCTAGACATTATGCATGGTAATTTTTTGCATAACCCGTTAACCTGACGTGAAACCACACAACCCGTTAACGATTAGGTCATTATGGGTCACCTGTTAACAAACTTGTTAAGATAACAAGTACGACAAGAAAACAATACGAACACGACAAAAACAACCATTTTGCCAAGCCTTGTGACCATTGGATATATGGAAGGGAAAAAAACAACCATTTTACACAAAATTATACTAAGGGCGATCTCAAGCCAACAAGTCTCTCTGCTTTGTGGAGGTCAACGGAAGATGTCTATCATACGCAGTCTTACTTTTATTTTGCTGCTTTTGTAAAGAGGTTGTTTTCACGATTCGAACCTGTGACCTTTTGGTCAGCAAGGTGCAACAAAATTGTGGTAGTAATTGAGAAGTTGAAGCACCATGATGACACGTTTTGGTTCATGTTTGCAAGTGTGGTTTTCACATCAACTTGTATATGGGTTTCACTCCTGTCATGTTATCAATTTAAGAATAATTAGGCAAACAAGTATAAGGTACAAATTGATATGATTTTAAAACATCATAGTGCAAGAGAAAATTAAAGTCACATGATCTATTTCATATAGTATGAGCGTCCCACCTTCAGTTTTGTCGTATTTTTTGTGAATTCAACTTTATGGCAGATATTATCCTCGACTTTTTACTATGTTAAGTTGAGGCAAATGTGAGGTAAAGTATTGTGCCCACCCTCTTTTCATCCGATTTCGAAACTTCCTCCTCTCAAACTAAAATGGTTTATAACAAAATATCCAATTATCAAAAAGAAAAAGGCCAAAAAAAAAAAAAAAAAAAAAAAACTTTGTTAACATGGGATAAGATTGCCGTCGTGGTTTCGTTTACTCATTAAAGAAGAAAAAGAAGCTACAGAAAGAGAAAAGAGGTAGAGAGCCCCATCAGTGCTTGATCTCTATACTTTATTTTTTATTATAAGCAGTTTTATTATTCTGAATTACACTAAAAAGAGAGAGACGGTCTGAACTCGAAATACAGTTGATTAAACAAAAAACATTCACCACCTAAAAAAATTCTTGATCTCTATCCTCAAGCACGCAGATATGCAACTGTTTCATGTAAGTTCTTTTCATCCAACCTAAATATCCATTTGGTCTAATGACTATTTGCAATGACATTCACTTGTCTTTTTGCTCATGTTTATCTCATTCGATCCCCTATTTGATTTGATACATACAATTAAAGTTTGATATGGACTTGCCAAGTCAATTTTCTACAACAAAACATGTCAAAGTTTCGGCGGCTCAAAGGGGTAAACAACTGGAGGTGAGGAAAAGGAGAATGTATATACAAACAAGAATCCATCTATTATTATCTAACTAAAAATCTCGGAACCTCTCATCTTTACATCCATCTGTCCTTGAAATTCAAAAAAAAAAAAAAAAAAAAAAAAAAAAAATCATTTTTACTTACACCGACGACGTAGGAAACTGTCTGTATATCCACCTAGCTATTCTCACCCAAGATAAAAAGTTAAAAGAATGGGAAGGGATGAGAACTTGGACAATCATCCATCCATCTTAAAACAGAATTCTAGCATCGACGTAGTCCAAGCCACAAAGGAGAAGGTAGTTCACTGCCTAAAACACAGTGTTGGCCACTTCATTGCCCACCCTTCTATCGCCCTATTGATGAATGCTGCTATTGATTGCGGAGAGGGAGCCCAAAAGGCTCTCGCCGACCTCGCTCTTGCAAAGGGGACATGATGCATTGATCTTTAACCACTTATCCACGCAGTCCTTGTGGAAAAAATGAGAGCATGGCAACTCTCTCAGCTCGTCGTTGTTTGCGTATTTAGCCAAGCAGATGCAACAAACCTGTTCAATTTTACGACATAATCAGTAATTATCAAGTATATTAACAGGCAAGCAGATAGGGAAAAATCTAGAATCAAACCACCGTCCACCTAAGTTGTCACTTGTCACTAGAAAGAAGTTTCAAGCATTTAAAATCCAGTCAGCAAATTGATCAGGATCTTGGCTGACTGGATAAAGCAGCAGTACACTCAAGTGAATACGAGAGGAAGTAGGTTTCAAATGGCGTGTTATGTTATGCCAAATATGGGAGGAAGATTTGTAATCACCAAGCTAGTAATATCATGCATTCATTACTCAATTATCACACTAGTACTAATCCGGCAGGCATAGGTTCTACATATTATGACGAAAAGTAATATGCTAAATTCGCTGGATCAAACATACCGCATCCTCTCCAGAGATTGCACGCTCCTTCTCAGTTCCTGCAGCCACAACACCACCTTCAGTGGCACCTGAGCTGCCGCCATCTCTGTTATCGCCATTTTTGTTTTTCTTTATCTTGAACTTGTATGTTGGCAGAGAATTAATTGATTCAGGTGTGGCTCCCCGTGCCTGTGCCAGGTCCTCTCGAAACCCAAGGACTGATATAATGCAAGGAAGACAACAGCAGATTGTTGCACATAAAATGAAAGGCATGGCGTATCCAATACAGCTGAATGTAAGAAATACTATACATAACCTGCACACAGAAAACATGGTATGATATCCCCCACTCTCAACAGCAATGAAATGGTTTACGTAGAAAAACTAATCAAATTGGCAAAAGTACCTGTACAGGTTAGGAGCGTCTGCTGCAGATGAGTGCCCACCAAAAATCCAAACATTGCCAACGACAAACCAAACCGCAAAGAAACAATCCAATGCCATCTTGAAGTATTCCACAAGTGCCTTGATTCTGTAAATGAAAAATGACCTCATGTATCAGACAATTTTTCAAGTACTAAGTTCCAACTTGCAAGTTGCAACTCAAGTTACTTTCTTAAGTTAAGGCACATAGGCTTAAAAACATAAATGATTTCATAAATCGAACAAGATTATGATACACCTGCTAAAGTAGAACTTGAACGGAAAAACTGAAACGTAATTGCCAAATTGAATATAGGATTATACTAAATTGAACAAAATTCATCACTGTCTTTTAGAATTTGCCAATAATAACCACCCTGGAAGATCTTGAAATTAATTTATATTGACACAGACCAAATGGATTTGGCTCAACAAATAGGTATATTCTTTCATGGACAAAAAAGAATTACCAAAAAGAAAGCACCCGTCAATGAGACAGCTACATTGGAACATTGATAATACGTTGTAAACTTGTAATTAAGAGAAGGGAAAAGAAAATTCCAGATACCAATACACTTTCACATAAAGGGCCAGTTTGATAACCATTTTGTCTTAGCCTGCAGCTGTGTTGTGTAACTTCAACATGAGCGATTACAGAATCTTAAACTATGCACACTAGAGTGTTTTCCTCTCTAAAAGGTTTAATGAATCTCTTAAGGGTTGGGAAAGGTGGTTGAGTAGATGTGCATAAACCGCTGACCGTTTTAACTTCCAAAGTGTATAGCCACAGCTAATAAAATAGTCTACTGGAATGCCAAGAAACATGCTATGTCCATAATATCAAGTCAAAATGGAGCTTCAATCTTCGTCAATAAAACAAACTGTTTTAAATATGATCGGTCATCATGATGCAACTTAGAAAGAGCATCCAAATAGAAAAACAGCAACAGAAACATACCTTCTGCTCTGTACTGCGGAACTTTGACTGCTTCTTGAAGATGCAGTGCCAGTTTGAAGATCTTCTCCTTCTGCAGCTCTAGAAAAAGAAAAAGAAAATGGTCTTGCTGGCACATTAACCTGAGAATTCTGACGAGCTTGAGCAGAATCTTGTTCTGCAGCCTGGTTGCGGTGACGATAGCGCCAGTAAAGAAGAGGAAGAATAGCAACACATCCAGACGCATAACCAATAATCCAAGCAAACAACGGGGTGTGAGGACGCTCATGCCTTGACAAAGACAAAACAACAATAGATGCAACGATTTGGCTCACTGTAAGAACAAGTTCAATGGAAATCCACAATCCAGAATTCAATGGACTTCTGCGGTGGCGAGTCTCCCCTCTCCTTACCATTGAAGTGTTCCTAGAGTTTGGTCCATTAGATGAAAAGATTGAAGGTTGGAATGCAGGTCCTCTTGGACTAGTTGAAGGTCTGTCCTCTTGCTGTGATGCATTTGAGTTATTTAAAGATCTACCATGAGGCAAGCTAGATGGGGAGGCATCACTACTCCCAGGTATGTCAATAATAATCTGAGTGTGGTTCATATCTTCAGGTCGTGATTGATCCATTAACAAGATCTTCCAAGATTGATATTGGCAACCGTGGTGACAGAAGATTGTTTGACATGCTAGATCAGAACATCAAGTTTCCTGACGCTCCCAGTTCGCTTCTAGCCTTCAAGAGGTGTAACTCCAAAGCTAAACATATAAACTGCGATAGAAGAGAAAAGAAACTGATCAGGACATGTTCTTCCTTTAACAACTAAAAACATACAATGAAAACACAACAAAACTCAGTTCACTAAATTCACAGCAATCTAGACATCAACAATATATAGGACAATACGAAAGAAGAGCAAAGATAGAAATGGAACTAGTGTATCTAACCATTAGGTAGATCTGCAAACCTAATGCATAGCAACCATTTAGAGTACCAAGGGGACACTACTTTCAAACAGTCCTTCCTAATATTATGTAGTTAATAACACAGAAAAAACAGGAACGCTGCTTGTAGCGCTCATATTGAGAGGCTCGATAGGTTTCAAGTCTACAAAATGCACAGGGCTCACTGAACTTCAAGCCTTATAGTAGGAGAACTTACAGGGACACGACCAGAAACATAGTTGTGATTAAGCAAAAATATTAACTCAAATAATTACATCTTTCTGTATCAATCAAATCTTTGAGACTTTCATTCTGTATTCACAATGAACAATACATGTTTAGAACTGATTAGTGCTTTCCTCACAACAACTTCACAACCAAACCGCACAGGGAGAAAAGGTCAGATTTCACACAGTACCCAAATCAAACGATGATGGAAGTTGAATTTAATCTTTCAAAGAAACTTCATGTTGAAGCTATCGATTGTGTATGATAAAACCTCTTTGTAAAACAACCTAAAAAATTGTGCATAAGAAAACTTTCTTTGAGTTTTATATATATCCTCCAAACCTAAAGTACATCTAATTAATTAATGACTTATATTCCCCAATTGCAATGATAGATAATCTATTGCATATGTATTTGAACCCGGAATAATCTTGTAGTGGCTGGGGAATCTGGGCAGCTCAGTAGACAATTATGCTTATTCACATTAAAATTTGAAATTCCATAAACATTCAATTTATTAAGCTGGGATTACTAGTTTTACAAGTTCTCTCTGTTCTCTTGGGGGCCTAAGCACAGGCAACTATCAACAGGGGTGGAAGCCCCCTTACAACCGGTGAAACTGAAACAATCACAAATCCACCGGAGAAAAGACAAGTATTTCAAGCCAGTGGAAAGAAAAAAATCTAGAAGCAGCAAGACCAACCTTATACCAGTTTAGGCAGGGTCTTTTAGCACGCCAGTTTCCTGTGAATCCAAACACACAATTCTTAATCCTTTAGCACAGTTGGCAGAAGAATAATTCAAGCCCCACGGATCAAAACCCTGTGTATCGAAACACTCAATTCTTAATTCTTTAGCGCATTTGGCAGAAGAATAATTCAAGCCCCACAAACCGAAACCAAAATTCAGAAGAACTGATGTAGATATTAATAAGATTAGAGACCAAAATCCGTCCTGAAATCCAACTAAAATATACAATTTATTCGGTCACTCGAATAACATGAAAATACAATCGAAAAAACATCTCGGTGATTTCTTATCAAAAATTGGATTTTCAAACACAAGAAGCTACAATCCAACACTTTCAAAACAAAAATAAAATGTTCCAGAACAGAATTCTACTCCCAGTTCAAACTTCAAACCCCCTACTCTTTTCCCTAGATTTTCTCAGGCAACCAAACAGCAGGAATCAGTCCACCCTTTATTTCTCTATATCACAAAGCTTCAAGAATTTCCCAACAGCAAAGTCAATCTTCACTTCAAACCTTGATTTCATACCATCCCAATAATACATACCAACAAAAATCCTAAAAATTCAAGAACTACCCAACAGTCAAAGAATCCAAAACCCACCAATCCACCTTCGAATTTCACCCCTTAAACCCAAAAATGAAAAATTAAACCTTTTTTTATCAAATCAACAGATATAAATTATCAATTTCCAATCTGTAACAATTATAGATACGTGAAGAGACAGAGAGAGAGTACCAGATTGAAGCAGAGCGAGCGAGAGAGAGAGACGATGGTGAAGAAAACGAGGAGAGCCGTCCTGGGAATCGAGTGATTGCTGTGGAATTTGGGTGGATTTTGTTGTTGAGATTTGGAGGGAGGGAGAAACTTGAGGACGAGCTTTGGACCTTCACTGCGGGCTAAAGAAAAGAATTTCCTTTTTGCTTCTTTTTATTTATTTATATATAATTATCAGCTAATTATATTTCTTTCGGTTTAAACTATTAATCTTTTATTCGTATGATGCAAATATAGCTACGTATCAGACCATATACGGGTTTAAAAGCATTCCCAATAGTATAACTGAGTAGGCAAATTTATTTTGATAAGTCACGTTGGTAAAATTAGCTCCAACAGTATAGACAATTGAATTTGCAAATTTTGATTTTTGCATACTCGTCCAAAGTAGGCAATTTTTTCTTCCGTGGGCAGTTCGGGCTCCCACCTTTTTATAATAAAATATTCTATGTGGTGAAAGATGACAAGACTAAAAGATAAAAGTAGATGTTATAGATGAAAGAAAATAATAAAACATAATTTTGTACACTTGGTTTACGTATACATGATCTATTGGAGCGACAAATTTTTCACAAGGTAATTGAGCCTTTACAGTACAATTTTGCTTGTTCTAAATTTAATTGCTTAAATCATTCGAGACGCTCTAACTCACACTGTAACATTTTTTTTATTGAAGGATTAAGCTGACAATAAGACTAGAAATACAAACGGATACAATTATAATATTTTATAAAGCAATATAAAAAAAATAAATTTTGTGATTCATTTAAAAAAAAAAAACTAATTAAAAATGTTTGAAAATTTTGAGTTTTAACGATAAGGGTAAAATAAAGATTAAAGTAAATACTATCATGATTGGTTTTTTTAGTGTAAAAATATAATTTTTCGTTAAAATAAACAATACCAAAAACTTAATCTTCAAACAGGATGTGAATTCGGAAATGTAAATAGACTTTATATCCTATTTGCCTTTGAAAACAAAATAAAGATAAACTTGTTAAAAAAAATTTAAAAAAATAAAGTTGGGCCGGGGCGCAGATACCAGAGCTTCGGTTTCCGTGTGGTCCTTTTAGCAAATATCAGTTTCCACCCCGAACTTTGCTGAGATTTGGGTTGTCTGCCTCTCCGTGCCAGAAATTCTTTATGACTTTCTATTTATATGATTATGGTTAAGTTACGTTAATATTTTATATTTTTATTATTTTTTAACTTATTATTTTTATAAAAAAATTAATATAAAATATTGACGTGGTTTAACTATGACTACAGACATAAAAAGGGCATGGAACGGAGGAAGGTAGACAATCCCAAGTTCAAATTTAATATTGCGGCATGCTTATTGCTTACGTCAACCTCCACCTGTATCAAAGACTCAAAAAATCTCAAATTCCAACGTGCCTTCCTTTTCTATAAAAAAAAAAACTAATATTGTATATACGCAAATAGCACTATACCAAATAATTGTTTCGTCCAAACGCATCCAACTATTTATAAATCTAAAACACTACCACTGAGGAAATGAATGTCAACCAGGATTTTAAACAATTATAATGTTCGTTAAAGGCAATAATAATTCATATAAATAATATAGGGTGCCAAATCAATGCTTAGATGAAAAATTTTGTCAAAAATTTTCAAAGTGCAAGAAGCGTCTCACACCAGAATTATTTTTTATTGTATTTTAATGAGAGATATCTACAAGCCTATCACGAGTCCACTAAACCAAACTCTTCAACATTAGCATTAACTCCCACTTCAACTTTCATAAATTCAACGATGGGTGGTATATACTTTTGTTTTTTTTAAGAAACGATATAATAATATCGAAGTAACTGAAACAAGACATGAGATCCTCGTCATCAATTGGAAACTGATAAAAGAAATATTAGGCGAGCTTAGCTATCCATTAGGTTTAGTCATTGGACTATTCAGTAGCAGTTTACTATCTAACGCACTTAAGGCGTTTAGAAAGAGCCAAGATGCTAGGACCAAAATTGCGTACAACTGGCCTAGTTGGGAGGGCCAGGACATGGCATATTCACGTAGTATATACATGTATAAAAGCTTTTCCCCAAGTGTGGATTCTATGTTCTGGGCCAAAGTATTAGATTCTCCAGGTTGCTGTCCAAGAAACCCAGTCCCTGCTAGTCCGAAAGGCCTAGGCCTGAAACAAATAAATGCATTACTCATCAATTACATAAGTTATATTTTTGGACTCGGAGCGACTAAAAATGATTAATTCCCCGATAGAACGACTTTCTGTCTCAAAAAATCTTTTTTCATTTTAAGCTAAATGCGTCATTCTACGACACACATATTTTTTTTTTATTTTGGACAAACAAGAAGCACGACACACATTTTTTCTATTAAATAATAAATTGACTGCAATCATCTTCCTACAACTATTACCTTTACATCAGTATTGTAATTACCATCATTATTGTTGTCGCCACTGTCGCTGCTACAATCGTCACCACAATCACAACAATCACCGCCACCACCACCATCAATATCATCACAATCGTCACCACTGGCAGCACAACAATCACCACCATCAAAGTTGTCATCACATCAGCCATAATCTACCATCGCCCTCACCACCACTACGACCACAAGCACCACCACCGTCTGCACCCCAACCACTACACCTTGTTATTGGTTCCAACCCCATACGCCCACAACTGTTGAAGCCATCACCGCCATTGCCCCCATCACCGTTGTTGTTACCACTACCCTGATTATTATGTCCATTTTTTCATTGTATACAATTATTATTTTTACATTAAAATCTATCGAATGTTTTTACACTGCTTTTCATACTCACAACAATTTAAAATTTTAGTTTATCAGCTCTCAACTACTTTATTTTATATTCAATTATTCTTAAAGCATAGTAGAAACATTTCTTTTTCAAAAAACAAACAATCACAAACTGACCTAAGTGAGGACGAAATCAAATATAAAAAGGGAATAAAATACACTACATAATCATTACAAGGGCATGTAGAAGAATTTGTAAGTGACTAATTCCTGTTTGTGAATCTCTTTCACGTGTCTTTGTGATACGCATGAAGTGCATTTTTAATCTCATCTAACATTTCACGATCAATTTCTCCTACTAACTTGGCTTCAATTCCTCGAGAATTAGAAGTCTTTCACCCAAACATAGTTTAAACATATTTTAGGGCATGTTTGGATGATAGAACTTTTAAGTTTCATTTGACTGAGGTCAAGCTAAAAATGAATGGACTACAAGTCCCACTTTTATAATTCTTCTGATCCTGGTTAGCATAAATGCCTCGGAACTTAGAAGTATTTCACCCGAATATAATCTTGAAGAGTCTATACTAACATTTTATGACATCTATAAATACTGGGTGGGGTATTATTTTATTTTTTGCTAGCAATAATGTGGTTCAAATTCGGTTTTGGCGATAATCGAACATAAGACCAAAATAACTAAAATACTATGAATTATATTTATTATGGAGAGAAATTGTTGACCCCCATTCTTAACATTTTAATTTCAAGTAAGCAAACATGTTGTTTGCGTAACATTCTTTACAAGAAACTTAGACATTCTTCAACCAACAAATAAAAACTGAAGTGAAGATTTTTGAACGTGATTATAAAAGCGAGAAATTTTAGAACGATCATTATACTGTTATTTTGTGTAATAAACCTAAATTTTTTAGTATCATAATCACATTGAGACAGTTTGTTATTAATTCACTGCTTATAATATAATTGGCGATATTATTAACACTTCATGAACTTATGATTTACTATTAATAAATAAATATACATAGTAAATATGAACAAACTAATTAAACTGTGTAATACTATGATGATACTACCAAAGCCTTTATTTATTTTTTTATAAAGAAAGTACGATATTTATTAATACAAATAAAACGTACTAGAAGAGGATAGGATGCTTATATAGGTCTCAATAAAAAACTTGCCGGGAATTTCAACCAAGTTGAAGGGAAAACAAGTCCCGCACAAATAACTATCTTCAACACAACATCATTTACAATTGATTATCTTCTAACAAAGCATCGTTAGCTTGTGATGCGCAAAATTCAGCATTGTGTCATCTGATGTCATAAATTATAGGTACCAAGAAAGAACAGTCGTCCTCAGAACGACTCACCGCTGCAATCACCACCCTCAAATCTCCCTCCAACACCATATTCGAACTAAATCTACGAAGGCCATTTATAAATTCCACTGCTCTTCGAGCCGCAAGCATCTCAGCATGTAGTGGTGAACTACTACTACATGGCAAAAATGCCCAGAAACTGCAGCAATAAAGCTGCCTGAACAGTCGTGCACTACCACACCATAACCTCCCCTCTTTGATCTTTCGCCCCACGCGCCATCAAAATTGAACTTAAACCATCCCGAGCTAGGCTTAGTCCACCGTTGTTTTGCCTTTGCTTTACTTAAATTCAAATTATAACAATACGTGACAGTATGACTTATCTAAAAAAGTTCGTCCTTAAAAACAGTATGCCACGTCGCAATCTCCTCTAGTATATTACAATGGGGATATTAAAACTTGTCTCAATTTTATTTATATTCGCAAAATTTATTACATTTTTTTAAAGAAATTTTAACGAAAAACTCATGGTATTGTTCACTTTAATGAAAAATTATATTTTTACGCTAAAAAGTCAATCTTGATACTATTCACTTTACCATTTATTTTATCTTTATCGTTAAAATTCAAAGTTTTCAAATTTTTTTCATTAGTTTTTTTTTATAGATATATTTCGAAAACCATTTTTTCAGAGAAAGATAATTCCCAAAATAATTCCCAAAACATCATCTGGAGCCGGATCTCTCCCCACCAAATCCTAAGGATCCAGAGATCCGGACTATTGAAATTTGATCAAACGGTAATAAACAGAGGGATCCGTCTAAAAATGATAATAATTGTAATCGTTAGATCAAATTTCAAATGTCCGGATCTTTGGATCCTTAGAAGTTGGTGGGGGTAGATCCGGCTGGGATCTCTGTCCCACAAATCCACCTCTATCTGCCTGTCAAAAAAACAGAACGAAGAAACAAACCAAATCAATTCATATTCGTGTTACCACTTTATCAATCCCCTAATCCAGCTCACACTACACGCCAA